GGTCGCTTAGCAGACAGTAAACATATATTAGGTTGTCCGGAAATTAATGCAGGTTTTGAAATCCGACCGCAATAACTCATACCTTTTCATTCTTAAGTGAGTTGCAAAACACCATTCGATAGGACAAAGCAAGCTCTACAAGATGGGTATCTTGCTTTAGCAACAGCTTTGATCCACCTCAAGTTTGGAGCCAAAAACTAAGAAGATTTAACCGCCTGAAAAATTGAAAAAAATCGTAACTCAGTTCATAAAAATCCTGCAAAAATCTAACTTGCTCACGTAAACGCAATCCACATAGGATCCATATACGCCGTTGCCGTACTTTTTTCTCTGTTAAGAACCAAGAAAACGGAAATTTTCGTGCATTTGCCAAAGTGGCGCTGTGCCGTTCCCACATAAGTAGTTGTATACTACAAACCTGTAGAAGTACAAACGTAAATTTCCAGCTCTCTACAAGCTTTAGTTCTCGAGAAATGTCGAATAAAGTTTTCCCTAGACATGTGGTCCAAGCTAAAATTCAAATTTCTCGAGAACTAAAGCTTGTAGAGAGCTGGAAATTTACGTTTGTACTTCTACAGGTTTGTAGTATACAACTACTTATGTGGGAACGGCACAGCGTCACTTTGGCAAAGGCACGAAAATTTCCGTTTTCTTGATTTTTAACAGAGAAAAAAATACGGCAACGGCGTATATGGATGCCCTATGTGGATTGCGTTTATGTGAGCAAGTTGTAACTTTTGTAGGATTTATATGAACAGAGTTACGATTTTTCTCGATTTTTCGGGCAGTTGAATCATTTTAGTTTTTGGCTCGAAACTTGAGGTGGATCAAAGCTGTTGCTAAAGCAAGATACCCATCTTGTAGAGCTTGCTTTGTCCTATCGAATGGTGTTTTGCAGCTCACTTAGGAATGAAAAGTGTATGAGTTATTGCGGTCGGAATTCAAAACCTGCATTAGTTTCCGGACAACCTAATGTTCGTGATCAGCGTTTGAAGAAGAGTCCAGTAATATTCAACATGTTTGGTATGGCTGGGTTAAGTTCTGACCGCTACCTGCTTAGCACTGTTGGGTTAAATGATTAGTACAACTCTGGAGTGTTCTCGGTAACTTTGAAGAATGAAAAAATACTTTGAAGAAAAGACGGCCGGCCATCGTGGCCGACCGTCAAAAAACTTGAAAATGCGACTTGTACAGCTTCTCGCTCCTGTTCCACAGGTTCATAGTGAGGTATACTAGGAATACTTACGATAGGTAGACAGCGTGAAATCTACGTATCTAGAGTTCAGGATATGGAGCTGCGATCCCCTCTTGGAATGTCAATGGGTGCGGCCTAAAACAATACATGCCCAGCAAAACTAATGAATACTGTACTGCTGCTTGTGTGAGCTTGAGACTAGTTAGTTGTTGTTGAAGGTGAAAACAGTTTACTGATTGAAGTTCCCTTCTACAGTTGCTGCTATCCTAATTCTGCGTCTCTGATCTTTGGCACGTTTGGTTAACATGGCAACGTGTAATAACATGTTTGCAACATGCAACAACATGTTGGCAGAACATTTTGGCTGTCAGCCTAAGGCTTCATACATACCTGACGATGGGTGGCTATAGCTGACGATGTGTCGCTGCTAGCAGCAACGCTTTGTGTGCGTATCGATTGCAGCCAAGCGACGCTGCTGCTCCTAGCTGCTGCAGCCAACGCGAAACAGACCCGCTATAGCTAGCGATGTGCGCTGCTTCTAGCTGCTCCCTGCTGCTCCCAGCTGCTCGTTGCTGCTCTTCGCTGCTACGCGATATGAAGCTCACTTTTTGTGAGCTTCTCTCAGCTGCTCCATGCTGCTATTAGCTGATTTCGCTCGGATTTGCCCCTATTTACCTTTTTTTTTGTGTTTTCAAATGATTTCCAGAGTAATTGTTGCGATAAGTGAACTATGAAAAAAAGCGAGACTATCAAAAAGACAAATGTATAGGCGAACAACTCAATCTGAACGAGATAAACTTTGAAAGACCTCCGGGATTAAAATAGAGTATGAATAGAGTACGATAAACAGCTAGAGGCAGATATTTATCAAGAACAATAGTAGGATGTCGCTGGCCCACTTATACAATACGGCAGTGAATAGATCTAGTTCAATTGTTGCCTCAAGCACACTAAAGGTCATGTATGACATTCAAATTAATATCTGTCAAACTATCTCAGTTTCTTTAGTAAATGCAGCATTTGTGCGCTGTGTGCTTATCAAACAAGTCTTTATAGTGATAATAGTGCGCTAGATTTCATGATTCATGGATTCCAGTGATGCGATTCATTCAAATCATTTCTCCGATAATCTAGATCAGCTGGGAGGGCTAATAATATTTCGCTTGCACCTAAAATGCACCCATGCCAGCAGCTACCGGCAGCTAGAAGCAGCGGAGACAGCAGCGATTCGCCAATACCCGCTATACCTCCATCGTCAAGTATGTATGAAGCCTAAGGGCCAACATGTCGCGCTGCATGTTGCCAACATGTTGGCCACGCGTGCCGTCGGTCAGAGACGCAGACCAAGAGTAGCAGCAACTGTGGCAGGGACGATACGCATTGATGGATATAGCGCTCCAATGCTTGTTAGGGCGTCCTCTGAACTATGTATGTGGCAACTATTGCCAAGGTTCGGTACAGCCGGCATCGGGTCAAGCTGGATATCGTTTTTAGAGCGAAAAGCAAAGGGGATACCGTTTTTCCGCGGTCCGGGGCGAAGAAAAGCCGCAAGTATGCCGCCGGCATGCCCATACACATACTTTTTTACATAAAATGTATTTACACCGTAAAATTTTGCATACAAGAAGAAAAATTTCATAGTGTTTAATTTCAGCGTTTTATAGCCCTTTGAAAATTACTCGGTCTGCTCCGCAGTCGAAAAATGGGCTTTTTCTGCATCTCCAGATGTGATTCAACCACTTAGATAGCTCAGAAAGCTGTGAAAATTTGTTTCCTGAAATCAGTATGCATGATAACCCCACTACGTACTTTTACACAATCTAAAATTAATGACGAGTCTTCAAAACAGGTCAAAGGGGACCTCGTTCGAATTTTTCAAGATCAAACGGGACTTCGTTTTGAAATTTCCCTGGTGCCAGCTCGTGCCGAGCCCTGACTATTGCATTTGTCAAGTTCTTGTATGCTACAGATTTGGTTCAAACATACTGCACACCAAAATGGTACCATTCACAATAACAGAGCCTTGAATCGAATGCCTCAGATTATGCTTTTTTTATTTCTCGTTGTATTAGATGCCTCAGAACAAATTTTTGTTTTTGTATCGTTATGTTAACACGTTTCGGACCGCGAAATCGCGCGCGGCGAAAAAGAGTGCACTTTTAGCCATTAGCCAACAAAGGGACCTTATTTCATAGACTGTGTGCTACTTTTGTAATCAGCATGTCAGATAAGCTCCACACCCAAAGTTCTGAGTGGATTCGAAGTGTTTGAATTTTGTAGATTGTGAAGGACTTTTGTGCTTTCTTGAAAGATAGGAACAAGATCTCAGTTTCTAATATTACCCAAAAGTATCAGTGTTGTAAACGGTACAAATATCTATTTAAACCACGGTTTTTCTCTTTGATATTGAAGCAAAAGAAAGTTGCGACGTCGCACGCGTCGTTCGCGTTGCCGCACTTCGTTGCAACTGTTGTTCGATTTGTGCTCATATCTCCCAAACAATTATCGGCAGCGCGACTCTACAAAGCCATCTAAAAAGTAGAAGCTTAGACCTTTAACTTCATAACCTTGGACTAAAAGAAAACTTCTTGTGAACTTCAAAATGATTCTTCAAAGCAGCGTACTGCACCATGTGCAGCACCGGTCCGAAACGTGTTAAATATAGGTTTTTCTAAATTTTTACATCAAAGCGGATTTCGTCAAATTTTAGGAAGTCATGGGGGACTTCCTTTTCAAAAGTGTTCCCATCGCATGCCGTGTCCTGGTGGTCTCTATGGAGCCTTCTTCAAAGCATTCAAATCTCGGTGAATTCGCGCCGCCAAAGGCATCAAATGGACTGCGTTAGGTCCTTTTGTGGGAAGAATATAGGGTACAAACAAGCGTAGTTGCTTTGAAGTCAACTGTGTAAAAGATACTGTTATTTTGTCCCACTCAAAAGCTTCTTTTGCGTGTTGGAAAAATCGCAGATTCCCAGAACTTTCAGCAGTCATACTGCACACTCAATCTCAAACGAATCCCAGTTTCTTCCTATTACAACAGGACTCGGCACGAGCTGGCACCAGGGGAATTTCAAAACGAAGTCCCGTTTGATCTTGAAAATTTCGAACGAGGTCCCCGTTGACCTGTTTTGAAGGACCGTCATTATTTTTAGATTATGTAGTAGGGTTTTCATGCATGCTGATTTCATGGGACAACTTTTCACGGCTTTCTGAGCTTTTCAAGTGGTTGAATCACATCTTGAGAAGCAGAAAAAGCCGATTTTTCGACTGCGGAGCAGACCGAGTAATTTTCAGATGGCTATAGAACGCTGGAGAGAAAACATTATGAAATTGTTTCTTCTCTGCATAAGAAATTTTACAGTGTAGATACATTTTATGTAGAAAAGTATGAAAACTTATGTGAACAAAGCGTCGGTGCCAGCTCAACTGGCACCCAGCTGGCACAGGCAGCTAATTCAGAAAAAAGTTCAGCACAGCTTTCATTCACATAAGTTTTCATAAATTTTTGAGCCATAGTTTGGGTCCCCCAACGCGCATGCACACACCAAATTTGGTGCCATACTATTGCGTTTTGGCTGAAAACAACGCCTTTGTTTGTTCGATGGAGAGCATGCCGGCGGTATACTTGCGGCTCTTCTTCGCCCCGGACCGTGGAGAACGATATCCCTTGGCTACCCTCCCTAAAAACGATATCCAGCTTGACCCGGTGCCAGCTGTGCCGAGCCCTGTATTATAATCACGAAGAACATGGTTACCATAATTGTCCGTTATTACATTAGCTTTTCTGCACTTCTACTTATTTTCAGAGTCCTATCGATATTCGTGCCGCCGATACTGATTATGCCTTGCTGCATAGGATGCATTTCGTCCACTACGATCACGCCGGTCCCCTCAATATCAGCAATAACGGACATACAAGTAGGCAATTTAAATGTGCAAACGGTCAAATCAAATATATAGTATCTGGGCTAGCTTACCATATGTAGGTACAACAGCGGCACACGCGCTACGCAGTACGCCACGCGTTCAAAGCGATGTTTCTGCAAAAGGACTGAGAGATGTTCGCCTATCTTGGTTACCGCTGGCTCCAAAAATGCGCGAAAAGGAGAGGAGAGCGCGAAAATGTCGAAAATGGGAAATTCAAGATCGGATGTGGGGACGCAAGGGCCGCCAAGATTGAGACAGAGAGGCGTTGGGGCCGTATATTCCTGACTGCACGCGTAGCTCGCTATAGCTTGCATATTGACATCGCCGGGTGGGTGGCATTGGCGTCCCTTTCCTAGCGCGTTTCAGGCTTCTGAGACCCCCTTTCGCTCCAAACCTCTATTGACGGGTATAAGGCTTACCATTACACTGCTACAAAAACCCGGCATCGGGTTATTCAGTTGATAAAACCCGAAAAACCAAAATCACGGATACGCTGAAAATCCGCCTGGGGGTCATTCGACATGCTGATAAACAAAAATTAGACCTAGTGTTTATTTGAGACATTGTGACGCTATTTGGATCGTCAAATAGTGTTTTGGTGGGAAAGTGCAGTAATGAGCGGGAATCTGTACTGTAGAGCGCAAACATTCTACTATTTTTTAGCATACCGAATAAGTATAGATTCAGGCCAGTATCTGAAATAAATTGAGTTTCGTTCAAATTACGAGAGAACGTTTGCGCAAATCTAATACACCTTTCAACAACTACTATGCTTACCTTAATCGCCTTTCTAGTTCAGTCGTAGGCGAACCTACGCGGCTGAGCTCACTGCTTGTATACAAGCTCCATTCCTTTCATATGTAATCCGTATTTGACCTCGATCAGAACCTACGGGTTTGATGTTAGCCGTTGTATGGAGATTGTGATGCAAAAAGAGCAGCAGTTTCAGTCTCAAAAGATTAAAATGATTGTAAGCAAAATTTGTGAAGCGTTTGCACTGATCTTCCCGAAGAGCATATTCGTTAAAGCTGCAAAGTTTTGGAACTGAAATCGTATGGATATTTAGTAACTTAGTATCGAACATTTCAAAAATCTCAAATGGGTTCCGTTCTCTTCGAAAACAACTTATAGGCAGTGTCCCGGCAGATTTCGCATTTCCATCTTTTTGCATGTTTTGGGCCTTTTCGACCCGTAGACCCCGAATTTGAGCTTTAAAACGGGTGAAAAGACCTTTTTCGGGCGTTTACCCAATTTCTAAAAGGCAGCTCATACTTCGATGGGAAGTTGGGAGGTCCTGGCACGAAGACCCTGCGCCTGTAATTTTTGCTTTGGATAGCGTACAAAATGCGGGCGGTCGTGGGGTCCCGCGCCGAACGGTAAGCGAAGTCGTTCGAGCGCGCGCCGATTTGGGTTGCGCGCGCCTGTTCGAGGGCTAATTTCTCGGCCCAGGGGGAACATCAACCAGCTGGACTGCGCCTGGAGGTCAGTGGGATGACCAGGAACTCCACCATAGCAATATCCTCCAGAGCGCGAACCTGCCGGGACACTGCCTTTGTGCTTTCAATCAATGAATTCGTTCGTCAACATTTCTAATAGAAACCCTTATCTTTTCTCGAATAATGACTCCGGCCACTAATCTAATACATGCGTTCTGACAAAGGTTTTGAGACACTATCTTGGAAAATTCCTGGATTCATTCCCCTCGCTTGAACGACGTTTTTGATTCTGGACTCACGAAAGACCTGCTTTCACATGTGATCCAAACTGCTAAGAGCTTTGCAATTTCGTTTACCTAATAGAGTTTGGACCAATGCTGAAAGACCAAGGAGACATCAAGGCCAAAATGCTGTTGAATGTAAGGCTGTGTACATTCCATAAAATAACTATGTTGCAACATGGCATTGACTGTTATCCAGAGAAAAGCATGTTTTCCAACTTGTTCACTTGGAATCATTTCTATACATGTTGGATGGGAATCGAACATCGTTTCAGGGGGAAAAGATTTGTATTTTTTTCGCTTACACCTTAACAGATCAAAGGATTATTTCTTCGCTTTCGTCATGGTATACGAACACAATACCGATACAGGTTCTCCAACAGAATTACTCTTACAAAATCTTTCTCTTTCACGGAACTTCGGAACATCAATATAGTATGGAGTGAGGGAAGTGTCAACGTTTGTAGAGGATTGCAAGAAAATATTCGAACGCTTTCAAACGGTAGCATTTTGACAGCTAAAGAAATTGGACAAAACAAATCTCCATACTTTGCAAAGGACAGTTTGACGCACTAGACTATACGACAAGTAGATTTGTTTCGTTATCGCAGCTCGGTTTTGATTATGGGAAATGTTTGGAAGAAACTGTGCGAATCCAAGTTTTCTGACTGGTTCCACCCAGCTGATTTTCGGAAGAAGATCTCGTATTTGGAAATGCTCCCTTGAATTTGCAATATCCAAGCGCTATAACTACAAGGTGTACAGTATGTAACAATTTGAGCAAGTTTTTACAAATGATTGCTGAACTCTGCTCTGTGTTCTGGATAGGAACGCGATCCATTCATTCCAAGCTTGTCGTAAAGTTAATAGTTGAGGCATTAATGCTTGTGAGAATTGCTCTGAGAAATCAAATGTTGAACTTAATTTAGTTACTACGAGGGATTTGTTTTTTGTTCAGGATCCTAAAGATATTACAGCTTCCAAGAGAGGACTAAGGTATTTTCAGCAAATTCTATAGGAAAAAATATAGCGCAATTTCTTCCCCAATCAGCTTGTTACAATTCATGCACAGATTTCAAGGAAGCTGTTAGAGATTTGGTGTTGTACGATTTCCTCCAATCCGTCAAGTTTTTCCGAATCGTTGGCGAAATCGCAGCCCTCGCGATTTTACCTTTGTACGAAAGGCAAGCTTTTGGTTACCTCTGCATGTCTTCTGATGGATTGTACGCGTTTGACTCTCCTCTGTTTCACTGGCAGTGGCGGGTGGTCGGTGAGGCGCGGGGTCTGCATCTCTCTCGCGAGCGTGCTCTCCAGTCGTAGCTCCGCCTTCCACCCGCCACTTCTAATGAAACAGAGGGTATTTTAGTTTCTGCCTTACTCTCCGTCGCAATAACTGTGACGCCGGCTCGTGCGGGTCAGGCCCGCGCTTGGACCGCGTCGCATCTGCGATGCCCTGCGGGCATTTCCCTCTGCCCGAGCGGCGTCTGAAAGCTGGCGGGAGTGAATAATTGCTCAGATTATACGTCGTAGACTCAGCACGGGGCTTAAAGACCGTGTCGCGCCAGAGCTGCGCCATGTGGGATGAAGCTGTGGTGGGGTTCCTGTCACCCCATCAACCTTCAGGCCTAGTCCGGCTGGTAGATGCTACATTTGTCCCAAGAAAACACCCCTGGAATGTGCGCGCGTTCGAGTGGCTTTGCTTGCCTGTTCGGCGCAATAGCTCCCTCACGGTACATGCTATGCAAAGCAAACATCACAGGCGGCAGGATCTTCGTGTCAGGGCCTCCAACTTTTCATTGATCTCGTAAGAGCCGTCTTCTGGATATTTTTAAACGCCCCAAAAACGGTGTTTAAACCGTTCAAACCTCAAATTCGGGCTCTAAGGTCGAGAAGGCCTAAGCCATGCAAAAAGGTAAATTGCAAAATCTGCCGGGACACTGTCTTCAAGCGAGACGGCGGCAGGGACTCGAGCGGCACGAGCCGGCGACACTATCATTGAGACTGAGAGTACGCCGTAAGGACCACGAATTCGTGACAATGGCGATGATAACGCGCTTCTCACGGACAAGGTTTTCGAGAATGTCGCGACAACTCTCGGTTTTGCGGTGACCGCTCGACATTCCGGCAATCGCGCGACACTTCATGGATTTCGCGAAATCACGCGAATCACGCAAACTACGCAGCGCCATAACTCCCTTCGGTGTATATTCTGAATCCGAAAGAAACATTATGCTCAGCCCAATTAATACATCACATTACCTATCTCGTTTTCAGATATTTTTTTGGGGACGTCTTTTTGCAGTATAACGAGTGTACTACACTCGTTATACTACAAAAACACTACGCACATCACCCGTAGAAGGATTGAGTTCCGCAAATTGTTGATCACTAAGAATTATCTGGAGTGTTCTTTCCAAAAAGGATGGAAGGGCTGGTGAATCTTGAAAAGGTCATGCCCCTCCAAACTACACTCACTGCATCCCACATGAAGCTGTCTTGCTAGGCAGATGTGACTTTCATAATGGGCAGGTCAGATAACCTCTATAAGCTTTTCTAGCAAGGGAAGGGTAACCGATGATCGTGGCCTTTTGAGATATGTTGCACATCAGATTGCTCCCCTTGAAACGCTACTTTCTAAACTATGTTTGTTATCTGTAGGACACTTCTAATTAGAAGAAATGGTGCCTGAAAAATGAAGAAGTAGTCGCGTTGACAGAGATCAAACCGGCATCCGCCACGCATTAATCGACAGCACTAGCTTTGACCATTCGATACCTTTTGCCCTTACCGGCATTATTCTTCTCTTGTGCAAATACGTCAAATGTGAAGTGATGTGGTTTTCTAGAAAATCGTTCCGCAAAAAGGAACACAATCTTGAGATCAGCTTTTCAGACCGAATGTCATGACGTGCAATGCGTTTAATGGGGCCGGGCCATAGACCTACGCGCGAGCGCTACCGCACGCCGTAGCGTAGAAACCATTATCCGTCGGAATCCGGCGCTGACCTTAGCTACAGTATATAGCTAACGCGACCATAAAAGGCGACCCGGCTGCCTCTTACTTTTTCATTGATCTTACTTATCAGATGATAAAGTGATCCTGCATTTGATTTGATGTGTTGTTTATCCTCTGGGCATTTATATAACTAATCATTTCGCTATCCGCATTCAAGTAATGAATGGGGACCTGAGTTTGCTAATAATTGATGTTGGTGGATGACTTAGAAATACCACTTACGAAATCTTTTTGTTGTTAAGAATTTCAAAGACTGTCATTGGTAAGGAAGACTTCATCTCCCTGACAATGTACACTTTTGCTTCTAACTTCATCAAATAAAACCCTTTTATATTCTGGCGAATACTTATTGTAATATCTCGATAATGATAAATTCCATGAGATATCCTAGAGAAACATCAGTTCTTTAGTATTTGCACGTTATGGTATATTGAGAGAGTATCCAAGATGAGGAGAATTTCCAGTACCGTGGCAAGATCAGAGAGTAAACAAGACAAATGATAGTTTCAGGATGACCTAATGATGTGGTAAGTGAGATTTTAATGTAATAAGTAAGGTTTATAGCCAAAGGAAAGATAAGAAGCAGCTGGGTCGCCTTTTATGGTCGCGTTAGCTATATACTGTAGCTAAGGTCAGCGCCGGATTCCGACGGATAATGGTTTCTCCGTAGCGTGCAGGCACCATCCCGCGCAAAGCAGCGTAGTCCTTGTTTTAGCTACTCTTCCTGCTTCTTTCTTAACTTATTCTCTGTCCTGTTAAATTTGAGCTTTTCCTCTCTGAAACTTTACTTCAGTACTTCCTGAGATCTCTCAAAGTATCACCGCGCGAATGTAGGACGAAATAGAGGTTTGAAGTCTTTGAAAAAAAGATGTAATTTGTGTGCGAACTCTGAGAACGACTAGTGCTCTTCCTCCTTGAGGCATTCGTATAATAGGTGTGAGTAGTTTGAGTGAGCAGCGCTTGGTGCTGTTCAGTTGGACCTAAAACGGTTCTATTCGGCTATCCGAGCCCCAAAATTTTGTGTTGTTGTGAACTCTGCTTAAACTCAATTGGCGTGATTCGCGTGACTTCGCAGAATCCAAGGAATGTCGCGCGATCGCCGGAATATCGCTCGATCAAAGAATTCCGTGGAAAGTCGCGACATTCTCGGAAATCGCGCGCGTTCGTGAGCGGTATTGTGCTTGAAGTTTTTTTTTGCATGCACATCATAGCTCCTAGAAATTTGAAGTGACTCTGAGCCCTAAATGATGCTTCTTGAGTTTTGTGCTCCTGGACGTTCTTGTCACAATTTCAAGAAGGACTACTAGCTTGGTGTAGATTATCTCAAGCAGTGCCTCACTTTCAAATTTAAATATGGGAGCAAAGAGGCAAAGTGCACTTCCCACCTCAGTTATATGGTCAGAATCAATCTATATGTGAAAATTGAACAAGTAATATTAATGTCATAACAGAAAGTTGCCTATGTGAGTTTTCTGGTAAAGTACAGCTTTTCATGTAGTTTTTCAGTCATAGGAAATGGTTTCGATCAGTGGGGATTGAAGCAACCATATATACAAGGAGCTGGATTGAGACATCGCTACCGACTTGTTCAGTTTCATTACCACTGGGCACAACATGACCATCTTGGCTCTGAGCATAAGATCGGTGGGCTTCACTACCCTGGAGAGGTTGGTGGAACAGAAATCTTGTTACGAACAAAAGTGTGCTACATGTTCAGATCCATCTTGTGCATGTTCGCCACGATCTAACGGTTGCGGAAGCAGTCAAGAGGCCAGACGGCATAGCTGTTGTCGGCGTATTTCTTCTGATTGGTCATGATAGTGGTCCAAACGCAGCAGTTTCGTCCGTTCTAAATGATGTCGTATATCCTGGTGAGAATTCGAATAACACCAGTGTTTGGACAGCGATACTGAATCAACTAAGTCTCTTTCCTATTTGTCCAGGTGACAAAAGTGTCAAGCATTGGCCTAAAGTTAGAATGTTATTAGAAGAGAAAAAAGTCACTTTTTTTGGGTTTCTTCAGCTAAAATTGATATTTTTTAGGATCTGAGGCATATCTAAGACCAAAATTATATGGCTGAAGTTTCAAAGATTTTAGTACACAACTGCATTAATGGGAGGAGCCCAAGAATACTAAGGAGGGAGCTTACCACTTTTCGGAATTGCGGAAAAAATGTAGCAAATGCATTTATGGATACGTTATGTGTCTGCTACATATAGGGCATTCGAAAAACCGTGACGATGGCGCGACCGCGCGCGACACGCGCGCACTTCCATTTCTTGGTTTCTACCGCTACTCGATGGGTTTTTCTGCTTATATATGATAGTATTCGGGCGCTGGAAATGACTGAGCTGAGCGTTGAGGTGGTGCCTGTTTGTATGGGTGTTTTATGCCCCTGTGTGCGCACAGAGTGCACCAAACTCGTCGTCACCATTTTAAGAATGACCCAAACATGAGCAAGCGAGAGATTCGTGGGAATTTTTGGAGCAGAGATCCGATTTTTGGCGCTATTTGCTCTCGTGTTTTGGCTTCAAACTTTGCATAAACCACGATTTAATTCAAATCTTCGGAAATCGTTTTGTAGAGCTTGCTTTGCTCTATCGAATGACACCCCTCACATATTTCGGCTTCGTGCTGTTGCTTCTTGCTGTCCCAAGGAGAGCACTGTAAATCCTTTATCGTGGTAGGTCATTTTCCTTAGTAAATAATATAGCTGATTATGCATTACGTACTAGGTGAACATAGTGTGTGGCATCAGCCACGTACTTTTATAAAACTGGAAAATCCATTTTTTTCGAGTCTATACAAGCCACCTGCACATTTTCACAACATGTAAGTAAGTCACGTAAGTAACTTTCAATCCCCCCCCCCCCCTTGCTACCCACCCCTTGGTCCACCATAATAGGTAGATATCTTCAGGAAGAAACGTAAGCAACTGAATTCGCAGCCTTGCAATGTTCTTCAGAGCTAAAACTTTTCTCAGCTTATTGCAGCCATCCATATGTCCTTCTCTTATAAATTTCAAATTCGTTATGGCTTGATACTTGCCGTGAATACACCAAACAGTGCGAGCTAAATTACTGAGCGGAAATCTTGTCAATTAACATATAGGCGATTAACGCACTCATTTTTTTGGTGCCGTTTTCGCTAGGAATAAATTTTTGGATCACTTTCAAGGCTGAAACAGGGTTGCTTTTTTATGCAAATTCATCATTTTGCGAAAAGTCTAATTACCTTCCCCACTTTTGCGGTCTAAATGCCGTTCGGCCAATTTTGAGGGTCCGCTATCGGACGGATTTCCTTGTTCATGGTGAACCTGCATAGTGGCGTCTTATGTTATGCAATTGTAAATCGAAGTGTTGGCTGCAACTCACTTTATGAATTTGTGACAGACAGACATACACGCAGACAAAAAGAAACAGACGGCTCAGCTCTTCATTATTGAGTTGTATTTCTTTTACATTATTACTCGCTAATTTTATATCGTCGTTGAGATCTTGAGCAGACTTGTGATATGAACTTTTAGGTTTGTTCCCAAATTTTCCCTATTTACCTCGATAAACTCTATAAAATTATTTCGATGTAGCAAACAGCTGAAAACTCTAACTTGATCAATGCAGTATTTTCGTCTTTGTTGTCATCCTAAAATAAGTGAACAAAAAAGCGCTCATCAACAATTATTTCACTACTCCATGCTTTCTTTGGGTTTTATTTTCCACCTACAATACCGCTCGGATTTTTTGGGAAAAAAGGCAAAGTCGCCCGAATATGTGACATCACCGCAGCTTGGCCACATCATCTAAATGAATAAGCACACTCAGCAACTACCGTAATCAAAAATCTGAAACGATTCGTGGAATCTGATCTCCTACTGTGTCCAGGCGGGCACTTTGAATGGTGTCTTTGTATTAAAAATTCCTCCACTCTGAAGCGAAATGGCGACGCAGCGGTGATGTCACATGAATTCGGCGACTTTCCCTCGTTTTCTCCAAGAATACGAGCTGTATCGTAGTAGCGAATCTATAGTACTTAAAGGCAGTGTCCGGGCAAAAACTCGATTTCGAGATTTTGCTTACCCTGGCCTATTCGCTACGCTGGATTCCAAAATCCACATTGGAGAGCGCGAAAACGACGAAAAACGGCTCTAATGCAGGAGGGAAATCAGCAAGTGGGCGGGGTCCTCCCCACTGTCAATTCACGCTCCCAGCTTCCGCAGCGATCTTCTCGCTTCCGGTTTCAAGTCAATCATTTGCACTCGACCGGTAGCGATGAAGGGACGGCTAGCGGAATCGAGAAGACCGCTCTGGAAGCTGGGAGCGTGAATTGACAGTGGGGAGGACCCCGCCCACTTGCTGTTTCCCTCCTGCGTTGGAGCCCTTTTTTGCAGTTTTCGCGCTTTCCAGTGTAGATTTTCAGATTCAGCATGGCGAATAGGCCCGGTTAAGCACAAAATCTCAAAATCGAGTTTTTGCCCGGACACTGCCTTTAAACCAAATCAAACTCCATTTTTTTAGGAAACCGCTCTGCTCTTCAAGGTTTTCGCGTCCGACCACTTCTCCCACCACACACCGAAGCCTTCTACAGATACGAAGGCAGTTTGACAACGCCAGGCTGCGACGAAGCTGTGATATGGACAGTCCTGGCAGATCCCATTTCTATAACTCGTACCCAGGTAATAGGATAGATCAACAGATCAACTTTTAGAGGCAAAACCTGTCAAGTCATGGTAGAGATACACTCATCTAAATTTTGGTAAGCACTACAAATTCTTAAAGGCTATCGAATTTGCTCGATTAGAATGAAATTCATCCAAGAATAAGTCTCCATTTCCGTATCGCAAGTCGTATCACAAACTGTTTTGACGTTTGTGCTGTAATTTGTCGGGTCCCAAACCCTGATAAAAATAGTGAGACCATTTCTAATGTAAAAAATAATGAATGCACTAACAAGGGGAGGATACTTAGTGACCGCGTGGTGCAGCGAGAATATACCAGTAGATGCGCCTTGAAACGCTGATTCCAAATCTATGTTTTCTGATGTGCGATTTGAACAAAGTTATGGACTTCTTTCCACGTTAATTTCACGAAACCTAGGCAGTCAGAATCGTCAGTTTCTAGGCTTTCTAGACTCTGTTATATAGAAGACAGTTTTCCTGAGCTTAACGAGAATCTTTTTTTTTGAACGCTCTTTTATAGTGCGTAACTTTCTAAAGATATTGCTTAATCCTATCATCAAGATAGTGCAAATTTTGGTGGCAGGAAATGTTCATAACTTCTTTCGGAAGAGCGCACAACAGATATCGGAGGCAGATTTGGAATCAGCGCTTCAGGCTGCATTCAGTGGCATACGTTCCATCTCAAAAGGCGTCACGGTCATCAAGTATCCCTCCCTTGTAAGTAGGATCAGTTGATCAGTTGAATGTTAAGATGACTAGGCTGCCAGAAGTTGGGGGCTCTCACTAAACTTTGTGTACTGCGTAGGTGCTGTAGACGAGATTGCAGAATTACCCAAGTGGTGAGTACGAGTGTCGACTAAGAAATGATGTACAAGTGCGTAATCAAAGGCACCGTCCGCCCAGATTGTTTTGTCGTTCCGGGGTCTTCTCATGTCCATGATTCCGAGTATGAGATCGAGAATCCGCGAAAACCCCGACAATCCTCGTTCCGGAGAACCCGCAGTTCGGTTTTTCGGAACGGTGATTGGATGGGCGCGCAGATGGGCGGGCATTACTGGAGGGAGCGGTGCCGACTTGGGGTCCTCATGTCTCTCCGCTACTCCGAAACGAATTTCTTGCTTTCGAAGCCACTTTTTGCACTGCGACTTATGCATTGGTTTGAGTTTTACTAGTAAGCTAAGCTCAAGACCCCTAACTTAGCGTGGACGGTGTCTTTAAGATTGCAGACATAAGCAAAACCTGTACTCTAACATTTAGATGGATTGTGCTGTTGGCCTCTAAAAGTTGCAACTCAATCAAGCTACAAATACCATGCATTGAAAGATCTATATTCGAAAGACGCTACATGACTTTTATTCTTAAGATAAAAGAATTTCGACAAGTGCATTCGGACGAAGGAGGTCGCTTCACTCACAACTATCGTCCGGTACAGCCTCTGAATGGAAGGAGAATTTTGTACAGACCAAGTTCTTTCGATAAGACTTTCCTTTGTAGTGGACATCAAGCCACAAGTATTCTAGTCGTCTTTGCAGGTGTGCTTTTAGCATATACACTACTTTAGTAGCTATCTGAAAGCTAGCTAAATATTACGTTGTCCCGAAAGTTCTGTCGTTTCATTTTTGAAAATTTGTAACTTTGCGCTATCTCAACGGATTTGCATCTTTGTAATTATTTTTGAAAGAGTAATTCTTTCGCTTTCGGATACTTTTCTTCCTAGCTTCTAACACACACTGATGGCAGAGATAAAAATAGAAAAAGAAGACCATATAAACTTTGGTCATTTTAAGTTAGGTCGCCAAATCTGAATCGCTGCAGAGAAATCTGAAAACTTAAATGCACAGGTTTTTTGACCTAATCTTTACAACTGTGAAAAGTTTTGCTGTCTGTATGCTTCTGTAAAAAGTTGTGATTTTCGAGAAAAGTGACAAATTGATTAATTTTGGCATTTTCTGTAGCAAAGTCAGAATTCGTGACTTTTCACAGAGGCGTCCAAACAGCACAAACTTTTCACATTTGCAAAGAATAGGCCAAAAAATCTGCGCATTTACTTTTCAGATTTTTCTGCAGCGATCCAGAGTTTTGGCGACCTAACTTAAAATGACGAAAGTTTAAATGGTCTTCTTTTTCTGTTTTTATCTCTGCAATCAGTGTGTGATAGAAGCTAAGAAGAAAAGTGTCCGAAAGCGAAAAAATTACTCTTTCAGACATGATTACAAAGATGCAAATCCGTTGAGATAGCGCAAAGTTACAAATTTTCAAAAATGAAACGACAGAACTTTCGGGACAACCTAATATATACTTATATTCTTTCTTAGGCATTCGTATAGCTTTTACCTGTGCATTTCGCTTGATCATACTATCCTTTGTGATCTCTCTACGAAAAGTAAAACAATTTATTTGTTTTCATTCATCTCATAAACAATTTGACAGTTTCAATTATGGCACAAAGTACAAAAATTACAAAGTCATACGAATTTTTGCACTCCTTGAGATGCAACCTGACAGTCGACTAGTAATCGACTAGAAAAATGGCAAAATGAAAATGACCACAAAATGTGCACAAAAGCGAACCAGTGTAGTAATATGATATGACACAGTGAGCGTTATCGCATCCGATCAAAAGATAATCTCATTCGAATTTCATTCGCAAACGTAGGATTGAAGGTCGAAGAGGAGATTTTGGGTAAATTGCAGTTTGCAGAAGTAATGCTCTTTTCACACTCTATTGACAAAAAAGTAAACTGCCTTGCCCCGCTAAGAATAAACTATGATAGCAACATCTTGCCAGCTCAGGCAATAGACGTGGGTGATTGGGCAATGGTTTCGGAATTTGCGGATCTACATTCGGTGAGCCGTATTTTCGCAAATCGCCCACTGAACCTTAGGAAAAAGTAAATGGAATTTACGGGATTGCTTGTTGATTTTCTTCTTTACTCCCTTCGGTTGTCAGAAATTAGTTGCTATTTCTTGTAGAAGGGAATCAACACAAGCTACGCCCGGTACTATGGACGTTCTATAAGGCTCTGCATGATCGTGAAATCTGGTGAGTTTGCGGCCATTGCTGGCTTTCACAGTTGTTTTTACCCTCTTACACGCTTTCTTGCTATCAGATGTTAGTTTTCAATTACTTGGAGCGATTCTGAAAAGTACGGGGTTGTTTAACAGGTTTGAGGCCTTACCACGATCATGCAGAGCCCTATATCAAAATAAATCAGCCGTCCAGATTTTAGCTGACACCGCAAATCGTCTGAGAGCGTAAGTCATGGCGTTCCTATGGCCAAAATGTTGAAACAATTGCTGACGATAGGCGACGCCTTGAAAAAAAAATTGAGCTGGCTACCAAAGACACTGAATCAACTTCCAAGCAAATCCAAAATGTTTTAGCTTCAGACGCTCATGGTTTCTTTCTGCGGGCAATGTTGAAAATTTCGGATGCGATGCTCCATACAGCAATGAAACCTCCAAAGCGCAAAAAATTTACAGAAATAATTATAATATGAATATCGCAAAGTGCAGAATAGGAATGCGGAATTCTGAGGGTGAATTGGCGAACTTGACTGCCCGATTACGCATGCAAGGTGTTGAGCGTTGAAAATTATGACGCCATAGGAAATACACTCACACTTCAAGAAGTGAGAATTATCAGTAAATGCAGTTAGGTATAATAGCTCCTTACTTATAAAGCGCATCAGAGTGTAAAGTACAGCAGCAGATAGAGTTCACGTGAACTGGAAGTAGGTGCTTTGCATATGATAGAGCTTTTCTATGGGATTCTCGGGATATGATTTCTCCGTTTGTTCCATCTCGATATCGTCGCAATCTGAGCAGTTTTCTGAAAGCGCTGGTTTGATACACAGGCAATGTGAACAGAATCAATTTGCGGTTCGATACCTTCATCTGAACTCTTCTCGCCCTCGACGCTTTTGCCTTCGGAATCGAGGGCACTCGAGCCGCGTTTGCTTTCCTCCTTGCGTTGCATTTTCTTCATCTATATATTAAGCACATCGCATCAAATGCAAGAACACATCAAAAATCTGTACGGAATTCACTCACTTTGGCCCGCTGGTTTTGGAACCACACTTGAACAACGCGAACGCTAAGGCCAGTCTCCTTGGCAAGTTGTTCTCGTATCTGAAAGAGTTGTTACAAATGACTTCTGCTCCAGTCACAAGAATTCCTAATAAGGTCAAAGAAGTAAAATTCATATTCTCTCTTACCTTCACAAATATGAAGGTAACAACAACTCAACAGTCTAATTATCGTCTCGATCAGGCTCATTTGTGCGCAGACTTTCTCGCTATTAGAAGCACACAGAAAAAATGAAATCGTTTTGAAGGGAATGCGCTCTATTAGAGGCAAATCGAATGCAATCGATTTCGGCACTTTATAAAAAAAGCGAAAAACTTTCACGAAGACAATGCTCATTAACGGCAAAGAGTCATTGAATGAACAGCACCAATGAGAAGAATTTCGTTGAATGAGTCACACTAAAAGTGTTTCCGAATTTATCATTGAGAGCAGCAATTGATGTCCAATAAACAGGTGACAACCTTCTTTTTCAGCTTGCATTCGAAGAACATATTCGACTAGCTACTATATATTTTCCGAGTGCTGGTAAACAATGTTTACTTTTGCTTGTTTTTACTTATTGCAAACTCGAGAACATTCGGGATATTGATAGCCTTCTCCCAGCTTGTTGTTATCTTTCACTCCTCCTCTCCTCCTCCCTTCCCGTTCAATCTACAGAGGGCTAGTGCTGGATTAACAAATTATACGCCGGGGTTCGGTAGGAATGTGAACGACTTTATATCAACTCAGCACCTTTGCTTCATAACTAGCAGGTGCGACGATAAATTCAATGTGCTTTTGCAGGTACCTTTAACGCGCAGATGCAAACAAATTGTCAGTTTACAGGCACAGGATCTATGCTTGCAGAAACGTTGTCGCCGTCGTCGTACGAGCATTACATTAGATCGATCCGAAAGTTCGTGTGTCGTTTTTTAGACCTATAGATAATCTTCGAATCGTTCAGAGTGGGATACAATACCGCTCACATTTTTTGAAAAAAAGACGCGAATGTATGGACATGTATGGACATGTACGGACATGTCCATACATGTATGGACATGTCCGTACATGTCCGTACATGTCCGTACATGTCCGTACATGTCCGTACATGTATGGACATGTCCATACATCAGCGTCGCGTGGCCATAACTTGCTTCAGAGTGGACGAATTCTGAATACAAAACCACCATTCGATTCAGCTCGGCGCGGAGAATCTTCTGGTAAATTAGAAGTGGGGGTACGATGTTTTCGATATTCCGTTTCCAGTTTTTTCAATTTGTTCTGCGGAGGTCCTTTCGCGAATATGTGAAGCAACGCCTACCCAACATAGAAGAATTTACTAAGCACTATTCGATAATACTGTTCTTGTAAATTATTGTGCGCTAAAAAATAGGCTCAGACTTCTTTCCAAAGGAGGTGAAAGCGTTGGTGAATTTTGGAAAAATCACGCGTTTCTAAATTCTACTCGCCATAACTTCCTTCGGAATAAGTATATTTTGAATCCGAAAACAGCGCCTTGCTCAGCTCATCAAGTCGAATCTTCATATGTACAGCATGTCCTTGGTATTTCGATTTCAGTATTCTTGAATCTTTCTGAGGACGTCTTTTCGCGAAGGTGTAATGCAGCGAACATTGTCCCGAGTACATTTCAGCAAGGATCTTTCGATAGCACTTTTTCTGTAGATTATGATGTGCTAAATAGTAGTCGCAGGTTTCTTTTCAAAGGAAATAGAAGGGCTGGTGAATTGTGGAGAAATCTTGTCGTCCTAAATTCTACTCGCCATATCAGCAGGATACGAAGCTATCTTGCTAAGCAGATGTGAGTTTCGAAATCAGCAGGTCGCATAACCTCTACGAGCAAGTTTTCCGATATGTTCGGGTCATTTCATTTTTTCTCGCTTTACGCTCCGGAAGCGCGCCGATGGATTTTGGTCAAAATGTTGATGCTCTTGAATTGTAAGGAAACTTCGCTTATAGAGGTTTTCGAACACGCTCTTTACGAAAATCGTGGTCTTCGAGGATTACAGGGTCTTTTTGGAGAGATACGGTGAGGTGACTGTAACTTCATCGCGAAAGTACGTAACTTTGGCCGCATTTCTCGCGTATCTGTCAGAAACCTTGCCTGCTTGCTTTTCTCAGTCAAAGTTATTAGGAACTGTGCTATCGAATGGTGTATTACTCAGGCTCCAGTCTGTGAGATTCGCCAAGTTACGAGCCTACAAATACACGTCCTCATGAATTTTGCCCAAATTGTAAAGATTGCATATCTCGTCGAAATTCCTCCGCGAGCGCTTGTATTAGGTCATTCGAAAAGTTTTTTCGTTTTTGCACCTCCAAATTCAAACGAGCACAATTTTTCCCTGATTCAGCCTTTTTCCATCAAATAAACTGCATTGTGTTCAGCAAATTTCTGGTTACACACTTATAGTGCTCTTGTGCTTTTCTCTTGCGGAATGATCTCAGAGAATCACTAAAGCCTGAAAAGGCGTTTTTGATTAGTCAATCTCTATTAGGTCCTATTATTTTTTAATAGGCACCGAGGAATTGGAAAATTCGGTGACTGGTAAAGGAAGGTCTAAAGAGTTTGAAAAATAAACAGGAATCTCGGTGCGCAGTCAACCCCTTTTGTGAGAGCCACTTTTCTTACATGTGGTTTGGCGGAGTCATGAGCGTGGATGGCATCTCTCATAGCTTATACGTGCAAGTCTGCTCAGTTTTGAAATTTTGACAAACATCTTCAGAGCAACATCACACTACTCTGCTCTTACAGTACAATAGCATTTTAGCAAGTTTATAGCGTACAAGACCAGCAGGATTACATTAATTTGAGTGCATTAACCTTTTGGAATGACAGATTGTTCTGGTCATGCTTTCAATGCTTATTCCAAACCAGTGCGTCACCTCTGCTTCGCAGAGGCTCGCACTGGCTCTAATATCCACATGCCTTCCTCATAGTAGCAAAATGATGGCTTTGAAACTTACCTCTCGATGCTGATCATCACGAATGAAATGTAAACAGCTGCTCATTTCAAAAGCTTTTTCATGTAAGATCGGTAACTTTGAGGGAGAAAAAGTATTATCCAAAAGATTAAATGCGATTCTGGATCAGTTACTGGGGTTATATTGGCTTGATAGTCGCCAGGAAGATGTGACAACCGTGAGTTACATCTCTGAGCAAAAATTTTCTCACAATCCCAAGTAAAATTTTGACAATCGATCATCTACGCAATTATTCCTTTTTGGCGCCGATCTTGCATGAAAGTAAACTTTCTGCTCACTTTTCGGGCTGGAGTCCATGGTTTGCGGATTTACTTGCTAAACGAAACCATGACTTTGGAAACAGTCCAATTACAGGCCCACTTTGGCGCGCGAAATGTCGCGTGGATCCGTTTGGCGCACAATTTCACAGGTTCCAGTTATCGGATCGGCTTGTGCTTTTGCATATTTTACCTATATGCTGATATGGTGCTACCAAAATTCTAGCTCAAGACCTTTGCTGGAACCCGCTCTACGAATTTCGTGACAGACAGAGATTCAGACACACACACACACACACACACACACACACACACACACACACACACACACACACACACACACACACACACACACACACACACACACACACACACACACACACACACACACACACACACACACACACACACACACACACACACACACACACACACACACACACACACACACACACACACACACACACACACACACACACACACACACACACACACACACACACACACACACACACACACACACACACACACACACACACACACACACACACACACACACACACACACACACACACACACACACACACACACACACACACACACACACACACACACACACACACACACACACACACACACACACACACACACACACACACACACACACACACACACACACACACACACACACACACACACACACACACACACACACACACACACACACACACACACACACACACACACACACACACACACACACACACACACACACACACACACACACACACACACACACACACACACACACACACACACACACACACACACACACACACACACACACACACACACACACACACACACACACACACACACACACACACACACACACACACACACACACACACACACACACACACACACACACACACACACACACACACACACACACACACACACACACACACACACACACACACACACACACACACACACACACACACACACACACACACACACACACACACGTAAACAACCCTTAGCCCGTTATTATAAGTAATGATCATTTACCACATTGTCGCTTCTTATTGCCGCACTTAGTCAATTTTTTGCTGTAATTAATAACTCAGGCTGGAAAAAGATTGCTACATAAAATTAAGAGCGACGAAAGCAGAGTCAACGCGCCCTCAAACTGCGATTGCGACAATTTGTGGGTACATGTCGCTGAAATTTTTCGGTATTGCAGCTTTAGCGAAGTGGCCTAATAAAGTTATATGACACTTCAGGGGATGCTGATAATTTTACGCAGCTATAATTGCGATTTAAAGGACCCTCTGAGATGCTCGTTTATATGGCAGAAACACTTTCCAGGACATTGCAAAATATTAGCTTTCACTTCTCTAGATCTGAACTTTCTGAAGTAAACTCGAACCTACTTCAAAAAAGACGTGGTCTTGGCAAATGCATTGCGCACAATGATGGTTTCCTCAACGGCCTTACGCTCAAATTTAAGCTTAGAGAATACAATTATTCGATAGTCGCGTTTTCGTATAGCGAATTTAGAGCCGCGTAAACTTCCCTACAAAGCGTCTTCTGCAATTTCGGTGGGATCCCAGAAACTAGAAGACTTCCTCTACAGATCCATATATGGCAACCCTTAACAGCCCCCTGACACCCTCTTAAAATATGGTATCAACATCAAAGGCGCAAAAAGGAAAAAACTATCCGAATGACCTAATACAATGCGCTGATCAAATCCTTCCATATTTTTAATGGATCTTATTGTATTGGATTTGGTGCTTTGAGCTCTAGCCACGAAATAGCTTTGATATTCAGTTGAGCAGCTGAAGCAGACGCAAGCACCATATTCAGTGCAGTGGAAGACGTTCAACGAAGCGAACATAATATCTGCAACAGCGTCATACAAGCGCTCACGGAGGAATTTCGACGAAATATGCGATCTTTACATTTTGGGCAAAATTCATGAGGACGTGTATTTGTAGGCTCGTAACTTGGCGAATTTCACAGACTGGAGCCTGAGTAATACACCATTCGATAGCACACTTCCTAGTAACTTTGACTGAGAAAAGCAAGCAGGCAAGGTTTCTGACAGATACGCGAGAAGTGCGGCCAAATTTACGTACTTCCGTGATGAAGCTACGGTCACCTCACCGTACCTCTCCAAAAAGACCCTGTAATCCTCGAAGACCACGATTTTCGTAAAGAGCCTGTTCGAAAACCTCTATAAGCGAAGTTTCCTTACAATTCAAGAGCATCAACATTTTGACCAAAATCCATCGGCGCGCTTCCGGAGCGTAAAGCGAGAAAAAATGAAATGACCCGAACATATCGGAAAACTTGCTCGTAGAGGTTATGTGGCCTGCTGATTTCGAAACTCACATCCGCTTAGCGAGATAGCTTCGTATTCTAGGGCTATGGAGAGTAGAACTTGGGACGACAAGATTTTTCCACAATTCACTAGCCGTTCTATTTCCTTTAAAAAGAAATCTGCGGCAACTAATTAGCATGTCATAATCTACAGAAAAATTACTGTCGAAAGGTCCTTGCTGGATTTTACTCGAGGCAATGCTCGCTGCTTTACACCTTCGCGAAAGGACGTTCTCAGAAAGATTCAAGAATACTGAAATCGAAATATCAAGGACATGCTGTATATAAAAAGATTCGCCTTGATGAACTGAGCAAGGCGCTGTTTTCGGATTCAAAATATACTTACTCCGAAGGAAGTTATGGCGAGTAGAATTTAAAAAACGCGTGATTATTTCAAAATTCACCAACGCTTCTATCTCCTTTGGAAAGAAGTCTGAGCCTATTTTTCAGCGGACAATAATCTACAAGAACAGTATTATCGAATAGTACTTAGCAAAGTCTTCTATGTTGGGTAGCCGTTGCTTCACATATTCGCAAAATGACCTCCGTAGAACAATTTGAAAAAACTGAAAACGGAATATCGTAGACATCGTACCCCCACTTCCTATACATCAGAAGATTCTCCGCGCCGAGCTGAATCGAATGGTGGTTTTGTATTTAGAATTCGTCCACTCTGAAGCAAGATATGGCCACGCGACGCTGATGTATGGACATGTCCATACATGTATGGACATGTACGGACATGTACGGACATGTACGGACATGTACGGACATGTCCATACATGTATGGACATGTCCGTACATGTCCATACATGTCCATACATTCGCGCCTTTTTTTCAAAAAATGTGAGCGGTATTGTAGGCAAATGCTCCATACTGTAATCGAGTACTTTTTCCTCTTTCTAGCAGTGATGTCTTTATTTCAAGGTCTTTGTTGATGCTCGAATGATCATCAGAAGCTCCAGTCCATTATTTTTACATACCCCTTATTTCAATTATTTTTTTTTTCAAATTTTTCTTTCTGATTTCTGGAAGAGCTTTGAACTCTTTCGGACAGAATAGAAAAAAATGCAAGACAATGAATTATTTGGGCTCCTTCAAGTGGCTTGCAAATAGTTTTAGAGGAATTTCTTCAAAAGTCAACATTTTGCAAAGTGGTAAAACGCACAAAGCTCAAACACTAGTAAAACTTCGGAATTTGAATCTTTCAAAAGTGATTATGATTTAGCATCAATAGCAGAGCAAATGAGTGTTTACCGCTTCCAAAATTTTGAATTTCGAGGCACAGTTCAGGGTGTGTTTACAAACCGAAATTCCGATCATCTCAATCTCAGTTCTTACGAATCAGGAAGAAAGAACGTCAACCAGAAGGATTACAATCCAAATCGAATGAAATATCAGTTGCCTGCTGTTTGGTGTTTTATGAAGTTTATGATGACCAAATATGAATTTGGTAGCATGACAGAAACCGCTTTAAAGATGTTGGAAACAAGACTGCCAAAGGAATGCGTTGTCTTGCATTTCATTTACTCTAGTGATCGAAAAGTTAGATGAAAGTTCTGCAAAATAGCTAAACGAAGGCCAAAAATTATGGGTTGGAGCTCAAAGGAGTCGGAATACACCACCGCGGAGCGTTTGTCTATCTTTATTTTGAAGATTTTAGGCTACGTCTCAAGAATGGCACAAACTTTCGGACCGATCTTATGTTTACCGTCATGTATTTCAGCTACAGTAGCTTACATAGATCGATTAACCCAGACAGTATTTGCTACAGTAGTCAAGATCGCTGGTTAGTCTACTCGGAGAGAGTACGGTCTGGGCTGGATAATACTTCTCCTACTGTAGCAGGCGTGGCTTAGCTAAGGTCTCCCTCCCAACCAGTATGCACATAAGAAGTGTAGATATTGTAGATATCCAACTCACCTAGACACTGCCGATAATTATTCTTATTCCGGTAATTAAAATTATTCCTATCTATTCTCCCAAGCGAAAACTGCTTTGGAACGATTCACATTCTGTGTGGGTGAATTTTAAGGAACCGACCTTTCTGCATGGTTTCGCACTCTTTTCGAACGCAGCCTTAAACTGTTTCCGCTGAGTGGCATTCAGTATGGTTCGCGGCCTTTTTGGTGTCTTTCTACTAGATTCGGATGACTCGAAGTCGAACAGCACTGGAGCACCTGAAACAATTTTGCGGACCCGTAAAAACGTTGATTTTCGTAGCATATTGAAGAATGCGTACACTAGTGCCAAAAACAGGCTATTTCTGATAGAATTTTCATGAGAAAATAAAGGATCGAAAAATTTGAGCTTACTGTTGTTAGTTCGGACAATTTTTGCAGAATAGCTAAAAGCCCTGGTTTTGTTATCGAAAGAATGTTTATAAAAACACTGTGAGGTTTAGCAGAAAAGAATTGAAAAGCGATTCATATGATATCGCCCATTGTTTGTGAAAAAAAACGTTCTGCAACGGAGTTGCAGAAGTTTAAATCACATCGAATTATTTCGCTTCAAAATGAAAAAATTCCAAATCAAAGTATTGTACATATGTAAGGACGACTTCCTAGATACTGTAGGTACACGGTGTTCGGTTCTCCACAAAAAATATGAGCGTATCATATAACGATAAGTCGCCAGTTGGTACTTAATAGAGTATCCCCGGGCGAGAAACAATTTTTTAAAAATGTAGCATTTCGAAGGAGGTGAGGAAGAACAGCCATTTTGCGCTCAAAAGAAAAAGAAAAGCTGCATCTATGCAACTCAATCCAAAAGACGATTGTTTTGTGAACTTTGCTCAGTTGGAATAAAGGAGAACTTGCGGGACGACATAGCTTATGCCCTTGAGATTTTTAGAAGGCGGAGAAGCTTTTGAAAACACCAGGGTCGATAGTAATCTAGTCGAAACTCCGAGTTTGAAACTCCGCGTTAACTCAGAGATAACTCCGAGTTCCGTTTTTGAAACTCTGAGTTACGCTTATTGAAACTCTGAGTTCCGCTTTCGTAATTCCGAATTCCAACTCGGCGTTTTGCTCTGAAGAGCTGTTAAGCACTTTGCTGCAAAAGCGACGTTAAAGTAGGGACTCGAACCTGTATGGTCTAGCGTAAAGACCCTATCACTAAACCGCTAGACCATGACACACCCATGAACCCTAAAATTGCTTTGCCATAATGTACTCACTCATTCCATTAACACTTAGCAGGTCAAAACAAGTTATACCAAAGCCTCACTCATTTCCATTTCTATCGGGCAGTGATGGTTCATCACGAGGATTGGTTTTTTGCGCAGCCGAAAGCTTCAAACAATAGAGAAAGCGGATGGCATACGCAATGATAAGAATTGACTATTAGGATTGCGCACAGAATAAATCCTCCGGGCAATGTTTGCCCTTCCATGATTTCGTCTTATTTACCGTATACCTACCGTAATCGTTCCATATGTCACCAGTGTATGTAGCAGATAGATTGTCCGTAATCTGCATCCCGAACAACTCCAGTGTACCAAATTTCGGCTAATTCCACCGCTTTAATTCATCTACCGTAAACCTACCGTAACCCCGTCAGATGACACCACAGTATAATCTGCACGTCATATTCGTGATCGGCGCCCCGAATAACCCCAGTGTACCAAGTTTCGATCAGTTTCGTGATTTTCTCCCATCTACCGTAAACCTACCGTAACACCTCTACATGACCCCATAGTGAGAAATGGGTACCATATGCGTGACCAGAGCACCGAATAACCCCCTGGGCCAAGTATTTACAAAATTTCAAAATTTTGTAAATCACTGCGCACCACGATACCCCCATCATGCCTGCTTAAACTACGAGCAAAATGTACCCCGGAGGACTTTTTAGCTGCCCCTCTTCTTTTGCGCACTATTTCTCTTTCTCTGACCAAACTCAGAGTTATCTCTGAGTTCCATGATAGACTGGAACGCGCATCAAACTCAGAGTTATCGTAGACACTAGTTGCGCGTTTGGTGGCGATGTTTCTTGTGCAGGACGATTTGGACAATGTTGCGCTACTAGGAATAAACTACGTGTTAAGGAGAATCCTGCCATATCATCGCTTTCCGGATTTGATCTGTTCAAACACCTGTTAAAGGGGTCAAAAAGTTGCGCGTTAGCTCAGAGATAACTCAGAGTTAACTCTGAGTTATAACTCTGAGTTTCGATAGGTTTACTACCGACCCAGATTTTGTTTTATGTCGTCTGACGCAGAAAAATCGAGTATCTCAGACTGACTTACTTGCATGCAAATGATTCTGCAGTAGCATGTGGTAATCTTTCCGGCATACGATTTCGCCTTCCACAATCAAATATTCATCACCCTATAAGTAACAGTAAATTCTTTAGATACTTTTGAGTGAGTTTAGTTTTTCTTGACAGCCATTTACAAAAGAATGTTCTTGTGTCAAAACCAACACAGTTCGCTATACCTTTTTGAATTGCATGTGACAGTAATAACATGAGAAACAGTGCTGATGATACGTGGCATGTTGGCATCGGAACACTAGATCGTGCGATGCCAGCGCTCCGTGACAGCGGGCGCAAAAACGGCCGAACAGTCTGAAATAAGATTCATGTCGTACGCCGCGTAGGGTAGGGATGTGAAGTCAAAATGTCCATAGTTATGTTGTTTTAGATCAACAGAAGTATAATCCCAAAGACACACATGGAAGGAAAACACGAACGATGCAGGCAACATTACGAAAATCTTTGTCGAAGGTGCCAAATCGGTATTAAAAGTGATTACAACTTTGAAAGCAACGTCCGAGCACTCTCATTTCCTCCTTATCACAGCCTCGTTTGTCGGAGAGGTATTGCTTCGAAGCTTGCCAGTGTTTCTTTCTTGAACTTGAGCGGCACACCGTGAGTGCACATGGAGCCGATTTTCCAGTCTATAGTTCAAGAAAGAAAGACACAAGCGTCCTGATAAGCTCAAGCATATTTTGACTAACGAGGGTCTCGATCTTATTACAGCCCATAAGATTATATTCGAAGGCAATCATCTCAACCCGTTCTCCTTTTTCGAAACTCGGAGTTCTAAAACTAGGGGTGGTTCAGGAAAGAGTGATACCTAGAGCAAGGAGAAATGTGAGGAGGAGATTCTTTGTGAGAAGAATTAGTAGTGATCTGGATAGACTGATGAGAAGAGAGATGCATCCTGTGAAGCTCTCGCAGTTTGAGATGCTTTTAAAAGACTATTAGCTTTCGCGTTGGAAATTTGTCATCTTCGTTTTTATTCTATTGTTATTAACAAGTGGTTTTCAATGTTTTGTAACACTTGTTTGTTGATGGCTAATACATAGGACATCCTATTTAAAAAGTGGATGAAAGGGAGCTGGACTCGGAGTGACTTTGATCACCAATGTGATGCATTTCAGTCGGACGGTCTTTAAGCGCTGATTCAAAAGTCTTTTCCATATCTACTTAACGGCTTACAGAACAAAGTTAGAGGCATTTTTCCGCTTTCAAATTGCACGTTCAGGAGCTGTCGTAATAATCTAAGTTCGTAGTGCACGCGAACATGCTCCGAAGTTACATGCCTGAATGTCTGAAATATATTTATTGTACATTAAAAAATCAGTGAGAATCGTTTTGAAGCTACTCCACTACCTTAGTCCTGGAATAAGCAACCAAATTCCAGGTCATCTGAGGGCAAAGAAATGCCTGTATCCTAGTTCAATGAATAGATAAGCAGATAAAGAGCACCTTCATAAGCAGCATTTCAAGGCTGTCATTATGGTATATCTTGCTGGGTACGCCACTTCCAATCAAACAACTTTTCTGTTGAGCATCTCAGGATCAAGGAGATAGTAGTGCTTTCAGAAATTGTTCGGTAAGCAATTAAATTCTCCCAATTTAGCAATATGCCTACATCCCAACAGAATTCAGCAAAAATTGTCCGCCATTAATTGAACACTTGGTCCTGGGTTAGTCTTAGAATTGAATTTAGGTAGGATCGGTGCTGGTAAGTCAGAGATAGGATTTGGATTCGACTAAGAATGCAAGCAATCTAAAAAAAAGTTTGAATGCGCGTATGACAATTCAACAGAACAAATTTAAGCACTCTTTCTTACTGATTTAGTGCCTAACGAAAGGGAAAGAAAGAGAATATTAAACTTAAGGATTCCACGCCAAACATAGAAGAAACAAGACTGCGAAAAAAAACGTTCACGGTAAGAGAACGGAGAATTTCGCGGTAGAGTACCGCACTAGTGTAAAAGTGAAGTTTTTCCTTTGCCCAAAAATCATCTAAAGTTTTAGTAAAGAGGACAATGTGACTTGGAACAAAGTACATACTGAATGTATTTCAAGGCAACCACCCAGATTCTCGACTTCCATGTTTTGATCGTCGCCTTCTCATGTCTCTGATCCCGTTTATTGTCAAGTATCAGCGAAAATCCCGAGAATCCCCGTTCCGGAGAACCCGGAGGCCGGTTCTCCGCAACGTGAGTGGATGGGAGTGCACGGATGAGCGGGCATTACTGGAGGGCCGACTTGGGTCCTCATGCCTCTTCGTTATTCCGAAGCGATTTTCTCGTTTCTAGCGACATTTTGCGCCGCGACTTGGCTTGATAGGGGGTCTCACTATAGCAAGCCAAAAGCTCAAGACCCCTAACTTAGGGTTGACGGTGCCTTCAAGGGTGCCGAAGGATTATGTTGGAAACCTCCGAAAACATTATAAGTGGGATACACATAGTCTCTCTTATATCTTCAGTTCGTAATCTTGCGCATCTACAGTCCGTCGCAATCGGGACCAGGCCAAACCGTTGGCTTGAAGTTGCACGCCCACAGCGCAGGGTTTGCGCTGCAGTGCGCGCTCGCAGAGAATGGGAGAGTGAAGAGAGAGCAGACAAGCTAGACGCAGTCGTACCGCAACCGCTCGCGATAAAGACTCCCGCCATTCCTTTATGGGGACCTGGACAGACTGTACACACTAGATTCAGTTACCATTTTGAGAATTTGTCTTGGGCCTTGCCCAACCCGCAGTAAATAGGCAAAGCAAGTCCTGCTCTCTGCAACTTTAAAAAGCAAAAGGCGCTCAGCTTCTGTATATCGCGTTTCGAAAATAAATGTGAATCTGATTATCTGTAAGTAGACTGATTGAAGTGTTTTAAAGCTCGGTAAGGTAGTCTGTTTGCTTTATTGCCCATCTCCATCTTGATGTAAGCCATATTTCACCCTACTACCTATTAAGATAGTCACCAATGTTTTTCTAGCCGCGATTATACACGACGATATAGTAGGGCTACGTTAATTATACTATTCGCAAAACGTAACTGATACAGTAAGTCTGTGCCAATCAGGGTTCGGCACAGCTGGCACCGGGTCATATTGCTGGATATCATTTTTGGGAAAAAAACCAAAGGGATATCGTTGTTGTGGCCGAGAAAGCACACAAATTGCGACGTTATCCTTAGTCGTCGTTTCGTTTTTGGGGGGTTTTTACGTTTAGGGTTTGAGGTCAAAAGGGCGTTTAGAAATTCTCCTGGTGCTAGCTCGTGCCAAGCCCTGGTGCTAGTTCCTGAAGCTATCATATTTGTAATCAGCTGGAAAACATTTTTTATACTTCCAACTTTTGCTATGCAAAATTCAAGAAAAACATATCTACATCAGCAAACAAACTAAACAGATTCGATAAGCGAAGTCATCTGATAATGCACTTGAGATACAGAATGGCAGATCTTTTTAGTATCCTTCGCTTTCATGCCTTTATTATTATTTGGCTTATTTTTACATATTACATAGAGAATAAGGTGTGATACATTCATAGAGTCAAGGATAATGGCTAAGAGTTTACTTTATCAGATCGCTATTACTGATTTTCCAAGCAAGGTCACCAAATCACCAGTTTTGTGGAAATTTCATTGAGATATGATGATTATATCAAAAACTTTGTCGATTATACAGGTGCTGTATAAAAAAGCTCTGCTAACATAGCTTCCAGAGGGGGAGGATCGCGTCTCCAATGTGTTATTATTCATTAGTCATTGTTCCACGAGAATGGTGATCAGTTGCAGGAAACGGGGAAACATTAGGGACGTCCACCAAATGACTCGGCTCACACTGTGTTTCTATATCATACACAGGAGGCTTTCGATCTATAACTTCGAATTGCAGTATTTATCATAATTTTTGCAGAACGCACTTTATTATTTGCCCATGGATAAAACGCGGAAAATCGTGATTGGCTGAGGTATGATGAGTGTAATAATTGAAGCTCTCGCCAACGTTTTGAAACCACAACAGTTGAGTGCCGTCGGTGTCAAACCAGTCACATTCAATGTTGTTTTTAAGGAAACAACCAATAACCGTTAATTTAGCTAAGTGGATGTTCATTGCTTCCTGGGAATTGACAATGTGGGAGTACGTGCATGCTAGGATAAGTAAAAAAAACTTTTCGACCGTTTCTACCTTTTGTCACAATTGCGGATATGCTCACCCTGAACAGGGGCACTCAATTTGGCCATGGCTCTGTCTGCTCTTTCTTTGTAAAAGCGAAATGTAGCCAAAGTAAAGCTTCCCATAGCATTTCGTGGTAAATTCTCCCGTCTAAAGATTCGCACTCTAGCATTCCAGCCACACTATAGATCGTGAATGATAAGACTACTGATAGTTGATTCCCAAGTTTCTAATAAATTGAAAAGTCATTTTTTCACAAACGCTCATCTGCTAATATTAGTTACTGTGGCAAAAGCTTTTATCGGCCGTTTCCTACTCCATTGATAGAAAATTAGTTTAGTAATTAAAAATTCAAATTAATCGATAAGTCAATTAGATATTCAATTTGTTCACTCGAACTAAAAACAGGTCATATATTAACATTAGTTTTCTTTTTGTAGTATATTGACCAAAAGTGAAGGGAGAAGAACCCGAGCGAGAAACGTGGTCCTCAGGCCAATTTAATTGACGGATCTGCATCGAACAAGCAATCAGCTAACTTTACGAATTTCATGTGTAAAGGATAACAAAGATTTTGAAATCACATTCTCATGGATTTATTTTTCTTAGTAGATCATCGCAGAAAAGGTCAGAAGATGAGCAATCTGAACTTCTATGTTTTCTTTGTTTAGTATGCCGGATATTTTGAAAGTTCCCTGCACGGGTCTTAAAATTATGCCTCAAATCTCGTATACAAGACAGTCAAAAATTACCAAGCGCTGTGGAAAAATTCCTTGCTTTTTGATCTCTAGTAACTTATTCGATAAAGCTGCTGGTACTAGCAACGCGTTATGTACAGAGATGCCAACAAGGGTTTTTTTGAATCTCAAATTGTGAAAATACTGCTAACAGAATCATGAAGAAATTGAAGTGGAACTTTTTATAGCGGAGTTGTAATGAAACTTTACAGATCATCAAAAATGGCAATTTCATGGGTTATCCGATATATGGAGGCTTCCTGTAACTGCAATTTTTTGTATCGGGAGATCTGACAATGATAGGGTTAAACACCTTCTCAGAATCCCCTGAGCACCTGTTATCGCACCACTAGCCTATTTTAGCGTCACGGAGAAAGCCTTTTGGTACTGTGAATGCCTGTTTGAAATGTAATACTGAAAAGATTGAGCAAATCGGCGTCTTGACTACCCTCTGACCGCCGAACGCGTTCTACTTTGTAGCCAAAGGGACCTGAATGCGTGTGACCAGCTGGTTATCAAGTCAGTACCTTTATCTTCCTTGTTTGCTCTGGTATCGATTTACCATAAGGGTAGAGGACTTGCTTGGCTTGAGAGCGCGACGGAACTTTGGTCCGAACCGGACAAAGCGGCTCCTCGTACCAGTACGCCACTCGTCTACCTAATGTAATACTGTGCATGATTTATCCCGAAGTACCGTAATAACCTCCAACATGCAGACTTCCATGTTCAGACTTTAGCCAGCAATTGAAAACTGATCCGCAGATACACCTCATCTGCATCGATTCATAGCTTACATGAGCTAACTTCTAATCTGAGCATTTGCTCATCTAAACTATGATCGATCAGATGAGGTACATCTCCGGATGATCTGCATTTATCTTTCGCCTTGATGAAAAAAATAATGCCTCACTTGTTCAAACCAAGGAAATGAAAGAAAGCGTCCGCGGGTTTTTACTGCACAATTTCCCTTAATTGAGCCACTCTAAACGGGTCGCCGTGGTCGTTTTTGAAGGAGATTTGTTTGCTTCGTAGATCACAAGTCATTGATCTAGCTAAAACCAGTTTTGCAAAGGTGATAAGGAACTCTCAAGAAGTTGCAGCTCCCTTTTGCAGCATATGCTCGAGATCTTAGCTGCAGATACTGAACTACATAAAGAAGTAGATGAATATTTGATATGAACTTTTTTGTGACTGGGTTTATCATAAATGGTTCGTTACAAGCTTTTGGCTTGGAGCCAATCCTTCAAAGACTGTTTGTTAGGAGAGTATAGGACTTTTCAAAAAAGTTCTATCTTTCTTTCAATTTCTAAATCATCGAAATATATTGATAATGATCTATTGTAAACAAAAACCTTTTTGAGTTGCTAGTTGATATACAAGGATCATTTTTATCACATAGTTATCCATTGTTTTTGATTTGTTACGTGGAAAAAACTTATTAGATTTCACATATAATGATTAAATGAAGTGGTTATTGAGAATATCAAAGCAGTTCTCTCAAAAATAAATGATGAAAATCTTTTCTGAAATCTTCTAAGGCCGATGAGACATGAAGAGTTTCAGTGTACCTAGATTATTTAAGGAATATTGAGGCAGAATAGTTCACATTTTGTTTGATATATTGTAACGTAACGGGCATCTTGACGTCGCTGAAGGGTATTGCCTAAATTGAAAACGTGGCTGACAGCCTTTCCTCATGTGCCAGCTCTGCGTGAAACAGAAGATAGATGAGTGCGGCTAGGGTCATAGCTACCGTATCCTGCGCTCCAGAGCTTATTTTTAGTAGGCTCTTCGATGCGAACTATCCAGCAGGGTCTCCCTGATTGAACTTGCTGACTTAGTGCCGGATCGCCGTGTCAACGAGAGCTGTATTGATTCCATTCATGAATTTGAAGATAATTGCTAGATATTACCACCTACATGTTACCAGTCCAATGAATTTTCAAAAACCTATCCATCATAAGTCCATCTTTCGATGCGTTTATTTGATCACCATCGTAATATAGGAGACCTCCAGCTGGGATACATAATAGCGGGACACTCTGTTGGCACGATAGGCGAAATTCAATTGAAATGTGAACGTTCTTTTGTGAGCGAGCTGAATGATATTATTTTCAAGCGGCTCACAACTGCCACATCACAGATAAAAGCGCATACGTTACCCGTTTCCCCTCCTTAAATCTGGAAATCTTGGCGTTCACTCTTAGATAGGCACATACACAAACCTTGGAGCTGACAATTAGATGCTTATATTGCGTTGGAAGCCTCCTGAATCAACATGCAAGGCAAACATGCCAGCCGTAAGGGGCATACGGTAGCGCTGACGCATATCGGTCGGGTTTTTAGCGCTTAGATGATTACAACTTGCCGAATCTATCCGACTTTTCCTACTCGAAAATCAAAATGAGTTAGAGTATTAGAGTCTTAGACTTAAAGTCTCTTAAGATTGTTACAAAAGAGACATTTCGGATGTGGTTGTCATAATAGAAGCATCTGCTTTGCTAATCAGAGGAGGGAATGAAAGATTTGATTTGATCGTTGCTTCGTTTCCAAATTCTTAAAAAATCTGTGCACCTAACTGAAGCAACAAAATGTGGAGATGGGGGACATATTCAAAGGTTTGCTTCATTAGTCTTCAAACTCTATTTCGAACCCTTTGAGTCTTTCTAAACAGTACCCTATTTTTTTTGACTGAGAAAAGCTGTGAATCGTCTAAGAAAATGGGGAGCGCTTCAACACAGAGTAATTAGGAAGCATTGGCATAAACAGGTATAAAGTGGATGAATGACCATAATAAGAAAAGATGTACAAAACATTCACGGTTTGCGCAGGTCTGCGATATTAGCTTCCCTTCACAACTATCACAAAACATAACTTCCCTTTAAAGTCGAGTAACACACGGTCTGTGATTGCGCAACAGCGATACTGTAGATCGGGAACACCGTAGCAAAAGTTTCGCGTTCAAAGGATTGCGTGTCACCAGCATTAGCCACAAATTGTTACAAACTCTTATTTGCAATGAATAATTACTGCATAATCTTATGCACTCGCAGTGAAGTCTGCATAGGTGCGAAAGACGAGCGAGCTGCGATGATCCGATCAGCTTTAGGGATGCCTATCATTGACTATCGCGTTCGCCTTGTAATCGCGCCATATAATCCATGCAAAGACAAGAAGCAGGTGATTCTATTACAGATCCAGAGAGTGGCGCTGGTTATATGTTAAGCCGCCCAATGACACATTATTGCCGGATTAGAAGCTATCGCGAAACCCTTGACACCAACCGTTAGGCTTCCTGTAGCGGCGATGAGAGGTGCTGGCAGGCAGCTGGCTTCGAGAGCTGATATCCTCGTAAAGAATTGCATAATATAATACTTGTCCGGATAATAAACATGATTATGTTGACCTCTTTGGAACAAATATAGCAAAAAGATTCCGTATTAATAGATTTAGTCTTCACCGTCCAGGGGAGTAGTGGGAAATTGCGAAAGGATGGGAAGGGTCACAAAAGTGATCACAAATCACGGTAAAAGACTACTAAACGTCACAATTATCTTTACTTCGACTACTCATAATCTAGCTACAAAATTTTTGAGCGGGAAGATAAGGATCTAAATGCTAAGTACTTGCCAACTTTTAAAAATAGCAATGTAAATCAGCAGCATTCGTACTCAAGATGTTCCTGTCGTTTGCTACATCATATCTTTGATACTTATCTTTGCCAATATGGGTACTGTAGATCGAGAACACCGTAAAAATTCTTGCGTTTGAAACTAAACAATTAATGACTATAGAAAGATTACAATTACCGAAACTAAGCTGAACAGCCTAACTGTTGTTATGCTGATGTGAAAGGTGCCACTTTTTCCATAGTTCCTCTCAGCAAGCTCGACCAAATTAATCAACCCTATAATCATCCTGCTGATGCTTTGTAATAAGCTACTATCGATCTCAGCCAAAACGAAAAATCAGCTGCCGGATACGACATCGTATGCGTCACGTGCATCGCTGTTACGCAAGTGCGCGAATAAACGTCGTTTGACAAGAATATGGAGATGAATGACAGTATTGGACATTTTGAGGAGAATAGGGAAAACACGCAAGGAGGAGAGAGGATTCACCAAGTAATATGAATCTGGGAGATTTTAGGATGTAAGAGGCTGTAAGGCTAATGCTTAGAGGTGATATGGTACGAAGTAATCGAACAATTTAGGCCCCGTTAGTGTTCGTCGTCTGAAATGTCGAGCTCGCCTCCTGCGAAGAGGCGGTAGATTGACACTTCTCACAATTGTGAATGTTGAAGCACGCATAAGTAAGGAGCGGTTTACACGCGACCACAATATTGAGTGGGTCGCGAAGATATGGTAGAGATGTTGTTTTTGGCCCGTGATATAGAAAAGGCAGGTCTCATACTCAAAACAAGGCAGGAAAAAAGATTAGAAACAAACATACGTGATTGTAGTGAAAATTTTTCAAACCCACATCGAATGATCTTCTCTGCAATAAAGGCGTCCATCTTTAGAAAAACATGTAGGATTGTTGGATAAGTTTTGATTGCAGGCAACGCATCGCAAGCAACATTCGTGAAATGAATCTGACATCACCTGAAACGATTTCAAATTGCAGATTTATGGTCAAAAATCGCAAGCGATTGCATTGGTGCCTGTGGGAGTGATATCTATTTCCGTATGCACGCGAAATGCTGTTCTCCTCGATAATTGAATTTGTAAATAAAAGTGGCAAATATGAAACATTTTCGGATTTGAACAGAAGCCTAGTTTCGAGAAGGTGCTAAAGTGCGTGAGCAAGCGCATTCGGGGTTTGTCATTTGCTGAACGCTGTTCACGCTTTTCTACATGTTTCTCTATTTTGGCCACGTAATGAAGAGAACTTCTGCTAACCCTAAGCACGAATTGATCCTTGATTTCGTAGCCACATACAGCACAAACAGACTCCTCCAATCGTACAGGACTGGTACCGGCACCTGAAATTCTGCAATTTAAACCTAAATCAAGCGGTTTTCGATTTAATTGCGATTGTTAGACTGGAAGAGAGGACAAGCAAACCGCTACCGGAGCACTACTCAAGAACTTCACCGTATGACAAGGTCTGAAGCAGAATCTCCTCGGTGCTCGCGACGGCCAGCATAGCAGTCGAGATCCGAAGTTGAACGGAAGTTTTGAGAATCAATGTATCGAATGTCGCACTGGTCCGGTGTGCATTTTGTTGTGCAAGACGAAGTGTTTCATGTCGAATACCATAACATACTGCTGAGCGTTCAGCGGCACGGATGCATGTATGTTGGGGACGAGCGTCATGTAGCCGATCATCCAACGACCAAACGAATGCTGCTTAGCTACTGCTAGTTGTAAGAGGATGGAAAAGGAAGTTGAACTATGGCAGAGTGTGCATTTGAGTTCTCAGATGTGCATCTCATTTTTGTGCCTGGGCCGAAGTAGTGGTGTGCACTTTGATACATGTGCGATAAAGTTATAGTTATTTTCACAGCAATTATTACTTGACTAGTGAATGTAACAGCAAAAGACATAGAAACTATTTTCTTCAACTGGCTCTGCAGTCAGAAGGTAGAAACGAAATAAATTAATAGCCATCACCAACCAACTGGTCGGAAAGCAGTCCCAGTACTGAATTGTCGAACTACGGTCTCGCTAAATGCTGGCGATTGTTCGTCCAGATCGACTAACTCCGTCCTGCAATATTGATAAATAAATGTTCGATGAAAAACGGCGGCCAACATACGTTTGATTACATGCATTTTCTCAAGTTCAAATTTCATAACGAGTCTAAGTGATAGAAAAGGCTACAAGGGATTTCGGAAACTATTATGGATATAAAAATCAGAAGTTTGATTTCGCTTACCTCTGCATTACGCCTATCATGTATGCTGATGAGTGAAGCGGATTTGGGATGCATGGCGCGCTACCGTAGCCCTGCCACGCCCCTCACTGTGGAGCTGCGCCATGCAGGATCACAAGCAGATCCCGGAACATGCAAATATCCTCGACATTGCTCTCTCAGACGAAGAAATGCACCAACGGGGTATTTCGGTAGTATGTACCTAATGAGTGAATCACATTTCTATCAAGTTTTTTTTTCGACTTATGCATGGTAATGCGTAAGCCGCATTCTCAAAAGTTGATACCGGTTAGAGAGTTAATCAAAGCTCAATCCCATTTTATGTCCAACAATTAACAGGCCGTCTAGTCACTGGTAGTCCTCCGCTATTGCCTTTTGGGTCTGATGGCTGCGTGCAATTCACAATTTTCTTTTATCGCACAGCTTAATGTTGCAGTGATTGGAGTCTATTACAGTATAGGTCATAACCAATGGGAAGTTAATCTAGCTCAACGAAGTTTTCAGTTTCAGAGATACTCTATGCATGAAACAAACGCACACTTGTTTGAAAGGAGATGCGTCGCAGTAATTACCCATCTGGAGAGAAAGCTGAACCATTCATTTTTGCTAAATCTGCAGTTTTGCCAACTTTAGATGTTCATATCTCAACATTGCGACGAAGGAGAGCAATCCGAGGTAGGGGAAGTGCCACATTCGACGCTTATCCTTTCAGCTGGAACAACACACTCTTATCGCAGTGCATAGCGGAAGGTAGAAGTTGTGATAAATTATTTGAATGCTCGAAATTATAAGCTTTGTAATGCTAGATGCAACAGCTGTTATCGGCTGGTATTTTAATCACAGCAAACTACTCTGGTACAAACTACTCTGTACCATATGCGTCTATCTCTCCAGCAGTATGCTTTTGCACTCATCTTCTCACGGAGCGACCAAATGAGCTCGAAGTAGAATACAGTATTTGTATTTGGTTATCAGCATGAGGTATCAGCCTAATCTAGGAAGCATTTTTCTACGCTGTAAGTTCAGCCATGGTTATCAGTGCGTTCTAATTTCTAACCCAGCACTAATGGGGGTGCTCTAAGAGGATCACGTAACAGCTCAAAATCGACTCAAGCCCTAAAGCTCGGTACTTGTACTCCCAAATAATTGTCAAGCCGTATGGGGTGCCATCGTCTGGCATGCGTACAGCATCACTATATCGCAGCTTGGCAATCGATACTAGGAAGCGAACTTATTGCCTCAATGGACTTTTTCTACAATTTAAAGCTCAAAATTTATCCTATCTACATCTGCTTTTTCGCGAACAACCTTTTTATAGGAGACGTGGCTTGACATCCCTATGATAGGCAAAGGAATTTAGACAGGAGCTTGTAGCTGATTTTGTGTAGAGTCATTGTCCACAAAAACAGGTACAGTTCTCAAGCTGGGCCTGAGATCCGCACGAGGTGTCAAGGAATTGAGCTGCTCATCCAACATTTAATCAATGATTTCGTCCATGAGTTTTATCGCAAAGTTTTGAGCAAGCTCTATTACTTCCCGCTTTTTTTCGAAATTCTTGGAATTTTTCGACAGCCGCGGGTCCTATTTGAGCTTCTTATTTGTTCGCTAGTTCATCAAAACCAACACTCTAAGTGCGCTGACCTCCTACTGTACTGTAGTAATAAAGTCACAAGCAATCATTTTGCAATACAGCTGTGCTGTCGCATAAGCATATCTGTCATAAAACAGTGAAATGTTACTTCATTACTGGAATTGCACATTTTTTGTGTTTGAGAGGTGCCCGTTGATTCCTTTAACCTTTGCTCTTATAATGTTTTTTTATTTTGCAAAAAGGGCAAAATTTTAGGAAATGTAAAGTTTCACTCCAAAACTTGCATCGAATTGTTAATTTCAAGGAAATCGTTACATAGTAGTTTTCACAGGGTAAATTCAGTACATAGCTTGACATAAGAAACTGCAAGTGATAAACATGAGTTCAGATCACTGTTCCGTTATTTTCTACAGAATCCTGCGTTTGATGTTCAAATGGTGTTTTAACGACGAAATTGTTGCAGACTCCCGCTTCATCCTTTCCGAGTGGTCCGCTTACGACATGTTGTTCCACCAGGGATATGTACGGTTTCAAGCCGAGTCTGAGATCGGCACGAGGTGTCAAGACATCAAACTGCTGAAGTAGTGATTATCATATCAGCACGAGAACAGTTTTCGATGCAAAGATTTGAAAAGAAGTTATGACATTTTCAGTTTCTCTTTCGAAATGTTTGAAATTTTTTGACTGCCGCTCAAACGCGTATAGCAAAAGTGTCGTAGCTGCCGAAGGTGAGTAAAGGTGTGGGTTTCTCATGAGCCGTGCATGGCATTTCTGCCGTGTCGGTACCGTGTGTGAGTCATGCAGCTTCCCTCTCGGTGCCGACAGAGGTCGACTCACCGTCTCCGTAGCGCTCGTGTTCACAAACAAGCGTGTACCTTTGTACTTTAAAGGTCCTTTTTGCGTAAAATATGATAGCTGTGTTTGACAATCGTCGAATTGAAAACTACAAAAATCTCGTAGTTTGCGAATGGTCGAGCGATCGTGTGTGCTCGTGTCATGGACGGTATAAGAGAGTTGTGGCCCAGGAGCAAATATAGATGCTGGAAACTTTCTTATACTAATTAAAATTTGCTGTCACTTGCAATTATTTGCGTATATTTCGATGTGATTACAGAATTGGAAGATATTAGTTGTCGTCAAGACGCAAGAAAAGGTCAGAACTAGAACTAACCTTCTCCCTTGAGATGCATATAATTTTGAGTTTGAATTGTTGATCAGTTCCGTGTTCATTTGATAAACGTTTCTTTAGGTAAAGTTTTGAGCTTTTGGTTATAGGCACTTGCACGCAGACAATCTGACAATGGACCAAAATGTCCAAGTAGTCTTTCAAATATATTTCATACAATTCTTTTAGACTAACAATTACACGTTGAGAATTCAGCAAGTACTCCTAAGCCAATTCAGGCTCACTGTGTTCTAACATTGGGTGGTTCTCCCTTTAAAAGAAGACAGATGGAATCATTTGTAAATTTCACATTTGTTCGGACAAGTCGGCTTGTGAAAGGCAGATTTATTCGTTGATGCTTAAGTCGCCAACGATTGAAGTTTGCTGGAACCCTATTTTAAGGTGTATAAGCCGCGCCCTCCTTCCTTTATATGCGAGCAGATCCAAGCGTGCCACTGTGCATGTTTTTCGCGAAGCGGTCACTTTCTCGCACACTGCTCTCAGTTAACGCGCCCCGTGGTAACAGGCAGTCTTTTGACGTGTTCACCTTTAGAGCAAACAGTGTGCGGCTTATAAACCTGAAAATAGGGCACTTACCGCAATCGCCTTCCTACTAACCGCGATGTCAAACGGAGTACTTTGCATCCTACCACAACAAGACCTTCTGCTGGAAGTGGACTACGTATAAACGAACCTGCACATTACAGTGCTTATTGTTAGTGGAGTTTTCTACATTATAGTCACAAAAACTAAGGAAAGCTGGCAGTCAGGCAACTCTTGTCAATCGCTCCTATTTTCTTCGCCGAAATTCGAAAATATTAGGTCGTTTCAAAAGTAATTTCGCTTTTTTCAAACGAGCGCCACATTTGATGGAACAAAGGTTCCTGAGAGTTCTTGGAAGCTTTCGATGCAGAATTTCATTCTCTTTCTTATAGTTATAAAATTGTCGCAAAACAGTCAACGAACTTTCAGAAAATAATCAAAATCTGCGACCCATGCTTTTTGGGATGGTCAAGTTTCACGATTTTTTAAAACTTTCATATCAATCCTCAGAAGGAGTTCAAGTAAAGATCCGATAGAGTAAACCTTACGGAATACAGTACTGCTTTTTTCTCTTTCTCGTAGCTCGCCGTAATTTTTTAAAAGATTTTTTAGCAGAACGATCGGATTTTGGCAGGCCCACCTCAGCCACAATCGCATCAAACATCAGTAATTACTCGAAATTTCAAGCTTTCAAGATGATATATGACTTAATTTTGATTTTATAAAGCAAATGAGAGTTTACGGATTCGAAATATCAAATTTCGAGTTTTTCGGGTACAGCCTGGGGCTCGCTAAAAAAATGAGTTATGATGATTTTATCTCCGAAAACTAAACGAATTGGAAGCAAAAAACGCCTGTCAGAAAGAGGAGAAAATGCTGCATCGAATAGTGCGTGAGCTGCTCTTCTTTCGATGTTCTACGAGGATTTAGCTGCCCAAGTCTGGAAATCGGTAGCATCACCTAAAATTCTGTTAAAAATGTAGGACAAGCTATGGAAATGAGAAAAAAGTAGTTTTGCATTCTGTATGGTTTGCTCTATAAAGGTATTACTTGAACTCCTTCTGAGGATTGATATGAAAGTTTTAAAAAATCGTGAAACTTGACCATCTCAAAAAGCATGGATCGCAGGTTTTGGTTATTTTCTGAAAGCTCATTGACTGTTTTGCAACAATTTCATAACTAGTAGAAAGAGAATAAAATTCTGCATCGAATGCCTCCAAGACCTCTTAGAAAGCTTTGTTCTGTCAAATGTGGTGCCCGTTTGAAAAAAGCGAAATAACTTTTGAAACGACCTAATAGAATCCCCTTCTTGCAGTCGAGACCTTTCTTTTTTATACAGGGTGTCCCAAAAAAATGTATCGAACGTTTGATCTCCAATAACTTCCCTATATGGGGAGCTTTCGCAGGTTTTTGAGTGTTTACGGTAGAGCTGGGTCAACTTAGATTTACAGTATAGAGCGAATCACCGATTTCTCTTAATTACTGTAGGATTACGGTAGGAATTTTCGACTAATTTTAAGCTTGTGATAGGCGAGAACTGCTTCTAAAAAATTCCGAAAAACCCAAAGGACGTTAAACTGAGGTTTTTGGGGGTGCTGAATCTAATCATAAAGTTTTCCGCTACCGTATCCCTCATCTTCCTACGATGTGCACAGTATCGCTATTTTTTTGGCTTTTTGTAACGTGTTCGTAACTGCAACGTTGATTAAGTAAATTTTGGAAAAAAAAACAAAAATTTATCTTTACAGTGCGCATATCGAAAGAAGATGGGGAGTACTGTAATGGAAAACTTTGTAATTAGATTAAGCACCCCCAAAAACTTCAGTTTAACGTCCTTTGGTTTTTTGGAATTTTTTAGAAGCTGTTCTCACCTGTCAGAAGCTTAAAATTAGTCAAAAATTCCCACCATAATCCTACAGTAATTGAGAGGAATCGGTTATTCGCTCTATACTGTAAGTCTAAGTTGAACCCAGCTCTACCGTATAACACTCAAAGATCCGCGAAAACTTTCCATATAGGGAAGTTAGTGAAGACCAAACGTTCGATACATTTTTTTGGGACACTCTGTACAATATGTTCATCGTGCGATAAATTTAGACTCAACGGCATCTCAACGTTGCTGCACTCGTCTGTGCAGAGATTTATAGTGCGACTCAATTGCGGTGTCCCTTTTGCAAACGGGCGCCTCCGCAGCGCGAGCCCCGCTTGCTGACTTCTGATCGATGAAGCCGATTGACTGCTGAAGCCATACCCTGTGAACGCTGCGCAAAAGAAGAGGATATGCTGCTCGATAGGGACAATTTAATTGAGACAGAGGCAAGGCGAAACCATATACTCCAGACAAGCGCATTTCTCTGCCTTTCGCATAATCTGCGCAGTAGTTGTAACAAACACACAGCCGTAAAGTTACTAAAATCAAAATTAATGACAGTTTCAAGTGCTCGCAAAAAGCTAAATCAAAAGCCTCAGAGGCCCTCGATTTCCTTAAGCCTCGATGAAGTTTAGGGCCTATGGGGAAGAACAACCAGCAAAGGGCACAGAGTAGATCATCTGAGTAACTTTGCTGCCTGAGTTAATAGCTACCGGGGCGCCATTCATCTAAACTCCGCAGGGCGCAACTTCTGGTATGTAGAAGTGTCTGATTGAGTACGCTAAACCAATCGTAGCCAGACATTTTCACGGATCTTTTTGAATTCTTATATGCGGTAGATTACACAGTGCCCTGATTTTTGCCGTAAGTTGCTTCTCACCATAAGGAAAAATCTGACATTTGTAAAACATGGTTAAGTACCTGAAACTTCCATACTCAAACAAGCACTTCTACGTATCAGAAGAGGTGCGGCGCCGAGCTTACATTAGTTGAACGGTGCTCTTGGACTGAGACGTCCATCTCGATGAGCACGATGGGGATGCGAGCTAATGTTATCTGCATAAGCATCGCGCTTTTTTGCACATATTGTGAGCGGTATTTGCATTCTGTGAGTAGATAGCTTTAGAAAGAAAAACTTTTTGCTGCTAATAATTGGAAATTTGCAGGTTGGCATTTCTTGCCGGCGTAAAAATGGATGCGTGAGATACATATCCAACAAATTCTACCCGTAGATGCGGAAACCATAAATCTGTATCACATCTCTTCACACACACTATACAACTTCTGATAGTGTTCACAGCGTGTGCTATTCCTTTACTGTTTATACTCAATATATGATTCTTCAGTGGTCAACCTCACGACAACCTCCGAGTGATCCGTCAGTATTCCCATAACAATGCTCTCGTAACGTAACGTTTGTTATTTTGAAGAGGCAGTTAGAAAAAAGACTATAGCACAGCTTTGGATGTGAAGCGATAAAGACACTTCACTTAATGTGTTGTAGTAGTGGTTTTGAGTACTGATCTCGTGCAGATTAGGTGCTAATGAGAGATCGCACAAAGATGATGGCCGCAGCTTTCAACTACCCTGAAACCTTGTGAATAAGTCCGCTATTCCAGAAGAGGACGAGGAAGGTCCACGCTCACGCTGCTTTTTTTTTATAGATATAACCCCCTATAGCTTGGAACAACAGAAATCATGAAATTTCATAAATCTCTGAAAGATGGGGTTAGCTGAACGCCAATGAAAAGTTTTTGAAGAATCTTTCAAATGGTTATTGGAAATTGGGACACGCACGGACTTACCATGAAAAAGGTCGGTCTCTAGCAGCATTGTGGAACATTAACACGTTGATGACGAGCTATTTTTTTGAGGTCTGTCCTTGTGGATGAGACGTTTCTCTGCATCCCTACGCCTGGCCGCATGTATGTATGCATGCATCCGTCCCCAAACACATGTGCAAGCCCCGCCCCATGCGGGCTCCGCCCACTAGGCCGAAAATGTCGGAACTTGCCCAAATTCTAAGATCTCAGGCGAATTCCGCCACCTTCAAAAATGGGCGGAGCTTGCCACTTAGGGGGCGGAGTTTACCTGGCGGTGGGCGGGGCCCGACTAAAAGTTACTTGAGGTCTTTGCGATCATCCACGGCCTCATCCATGGTTTTCATGAACACAAAGAGTCCTTCTGAGAGGCATGGGAATGGGCGGAATTCACCAGAAGGAGCGGGGTTGATACATGAAGTATAAGCTCCTGCAAGACGAAGGCGGTCGGTTCGATGTGCAACGCGGCTGCGGCATGGCTGCGTCACAGCCGCGTCACAGCCGCGTCACAGCCACGTCGCACATCGAACCGACCGCCTTCGTCTTGCAGGAGCTTATACATCTGAGCCTATGCTGATTATATGAACATAAACTGAGAGGATTGGACAGATAGTATTGAAACTAAGGCCGCCGCGCACCATTGCGCGGCGTCGTCCACAGGGACAGACTGCCTGCTGCGCACCATTGCGCGGCACTGTCGTCAACGTAACGCAAATTTTTTAAAAGTAACACGCAGTAAAGAATAATAGAATAAGAATAACAAATCATAACAAGCGTTAAATCAAGGTAGAGCCGGTGAGGTGCTAGCGAAATAGTGTAAGAATTCAATCGTTGATGATAGTGCCACAATAGTTTAGAAGAATAAAAAGAACCTATCACGTGGACTTGGGCAATTTGTGAAGTCTGCACAGCGCACACTGGACTGACCCTTTCTCCAACTAGCATCAGTGAACGCTCTGTTGACCCCCATGTTTTGACCTCTAGACTGCATCATGAATACCAAGCAAACCTTGAGGGTAAAATATAGCCCAAGTTTTGCTCTCAAAAATAAATTTGGTCCGTTGATGAATACCAGTGATTTCTGGAAGGAGAGGCTAAAAGAGATGTTTGGCGATTTTTGCTATAAAATCTCTCTCGTTTTCGTTGTAATGATTTTGTGCATACAATTGCCGAGGATTTGTAGAGTGAAATGTTGCACTCGCAATGATTATTTCTAGAAAGAATCATGTTGAATTCCTGAACTTCGGGAACTGGTAGAACTTTTGAAACAACCCGATACATTATCCATAGTGGATTCAATGCGATGAACCATTGTTGAAAAGCCCGAAACAATCCTATTTCTAGTCAGCATTTCTTATTTACCATCCTTTTTGGTAAATAAGGACTACGCTTTTTTGTGTCATCAATTTGCATGTCTTCAAAATCACCATCGCTAAGAAATATATAGCCTCCACAATTCGTGATAGAGATTCGCTGCGGCCTTGCTCCCATCTGAAAATGTTCAGTTCAGTTGTCTAGAAGATGTCTATCATTAGGGGTAAACGAAATCGCTTTTAGTAAAGATGAAGCAAAGAAAATTCATTTGCAAAAGGTGCGCAAGCGATGCACGCGACCGCCTTCATGGTCACAATTTCTTATTGCCCTATATCTGGGCCTGAAGCAACACTGAATGAAACCCAAGAAGTGATAGGTACCCGAACCCTCAAAACGAGCTGCCTCTCCCTGTTTTACTGATGTTTCTTTTTGCGGACCCAGAACCAGCCCCTTCTGTCAACAGGTAAAGGCGGCGGTTTCGGGGGACCGTCGGGAGGGGCGTCTTCTTCGGCTGTCCCCAAACTAACAAAGAAAGAAATCCAATTTATTCTGTTCCTTCCGGATTTTATCTATGTAATTCTCCCTTACACTTCCCGATATGATGAAGATTCGAAAACCGAGAACCTCTGTTTCGTGGAGCAGAAAGCAGTCCGGTAATGACGACTGCCGGAACGCGAGCCTGACATACGCTCGGCTCTTACTATTTCGCATTTCAGGATTGCCGATCGTCCTATGAAAAGTAAGAACAGACAGATAAAGTCAGCACATCGGATTCCACCTGTAGCGCTGGGTGAGAACAAACGCTGGTGCTCAATAATACTTCGGATGGCCCTCGAGGACTACCTGCTGTCTGAAAAAGTCTGAAAAATATAAGCAAGCAGAATTTATATTCTAGATTGCTCCCAAGCAACTGAAGCATCCTGAGGTTTCTAGGGACCACACAAAGTCGTGAATTTCCTCGTTCCTCACATAATCCTTTGAAGTATTTTACAATGTGCTCTTTGTTCAAGCTCTACTATTACTCAGTTGCTTCTATGAACACATAATTTCAAAAAAGGATAGAGCTTGCGTCTAACTACACATGAGAAACTCTAGCCTTCCAATCAAAGAATTACAGGTAGATTTATTGAATATTTCTCGAATAAGATAGCCGCATTGGAGATTATGATGGTAAAACGAGAGACCATATGTAAAAGCATGGCATGTTGAATAGCCAGTGGCAGAGAATGGAAAGCAAACGCAGTGCTTGTAATACCTGAAAGATCCGTAAAAACATACAAAGATCTCTGCTTCTGCACAAGGTATCACAATATTTGTCATTTCCAAGTAGGAAATTTGCATCTTTCTTGATGAAGAAGTCATTTCAGGAACTTAGGAGTCTGAAATGGCCTGATGTGTGAGTAGTAGTCAACCAAGAAGTCTCGTGTTTGTTGTTCCGCAAGTGAACCATTGGTGGTACAGTTTGAGCATAGAAATTGAGCAGGAAACTGGACTTTCGGGAATTGTGGATCCTCAGTGTCGCGACCGTGAAGGCGCGCATTCACGATGTTGTGCGCCCGCCATAGATACATGATCACATCTTCCGGACTCTTCACCTTGATTACAAGATGATTTAGATAATGAAAAGCGAGTGCGCGGAACAAACTTGAGCTTCCATTGGAAATGTAGCAGTGGTCATTTTGTGGAAATGTTCACGACAGTGTAGACAACCAAAGAACGATGTGATCCACGCGCGAATTGCCTGGAGCGGTTCTAGTGGTTTGAAGTCGGTTACTGCAATTTAGGTGTAAACAAACATAATCTGTAGATTTCAACTATGACTCTACAGCAGATTGCATGTTTACTCACACCGTTCTTCGGCTTGTTTGTACGCAGAAACGGTCAAGACATGAAAGGTGATCCACAATCCACAAGTGTACCCTCGAAACTGCCCAGTAGAACCCTTGCAGTGTTCCCAATCAGAATTCACGGCAAATGGGTCTCCCTCAGTTTTCTGAAAAAAAGCGTTACCAAACGAGTAGAACACATAACACCGCCAGTAGACTCCCCGCGCAGATATCTCGCACGTTCATGCATTCTCCGTATACTACAATCTGTAATAATAGTCCGAGCAGGTTAACTATAGGCGATTTAGTAACCTCGGCTTTGGTCTTACTTCTCTCGTTTGGATAAAACGAACTCACCTCAGCTGTGATGAACTGCCTCTGCCATTCATCAGGGGTGATCGTAGCGTCTAATCCACGATTTTCGAGATAGTCCCGAAGTCGTGCAAATACTTTCACAGCCCGGGTAGAACGATCAAGGACAGACTATATAGCTCAAAATTTTATACCGAAGGAGATCAACGTTGTCGGTGACACATACGTTGTTGCCATAAGAAGTCGTGACAGGAAAATAATCGGCCAGAAGATTGACAAAAGCATGGAGGGCAGTGAGGTTTTGACCAGTTAGCGGAGCATTCGTCCGTGATGTCTCTCGAAACAGGGCATATCGCACTGCTTTGAGCATGTCCACCTCAGAAACGTAGTAAAGAGCACGACATCTGAACTAATTTTTCAATCAAAAGAAGTGGCGAAATCAGTGAAAGTATAAAATTGTGCAAGCGACTTGTTCTTACTCGTCCGTATTTTTTCTGGAATCTCAAACATCGAATTAGCCTTGCAAGAATTTTTCCGAGGCGTGGCTGCCGCCAAGCCCGTTTTTAAAATTCTGAAATCGTAAGTCGCAAAACCGTAATCTTATGGGAAATTTTGAGAGGAGGGGCGCATGGCTAATGCCTATACCTCTTTGTTTGAATGAACCCTTCCCCCTCCTAAAAAGGTTCTTTTACCACTACCTACCCGACGATATTCTAGCCTGTTCTTTCTCGATTAGTTATGATATTCCATTCACTTGATTTCTAACACTCTGCTATAAAAAGAAGTTCTTGTAATCCGCTACGATACCACTTCCGTAGTTTCACGTGAACGAAACCATAAAAGCGTTTTTGTTTTATGAGAGACTGAGGTGATTGTAGAGTTATGTGAAAGATGTTATGTACAGATTTGACATTGAGAGCCCTTTCTGAACTACTTGATTTTTGCAACTGGTTTCAAAGCTTCGCTCTCTTTGGATATGGCGAACCCAAACTTTGGCATTATGTAGAAGGCAATGTGAGCTACAAGTGAGCACAAATTGTCTAAATTTCGAACACGAAATAGAAAAGTTTCAGGCGTTTTTCGAAAACTAGTGAAATTGAGAATTTTTGGGGTTTCAAGCTAAAAGGAAGCCTTTGGCAGCCTAGACCATGCGCAGTAATCCGGATTCGTCTACAAATTATTGCTGGAGGTTGATTTCTTTGGCCTAGTAAAAAAGAAACAAAATTTAGGGGCATATCGAGATTTGGCGTCCTCATAAAGTCGAACGAGTCGATGTACGCAAGAGCTGCTCGGGACGACCGTCAATGACTAAAGAGCTCGAATTCCGCCGAGATGTACATGGTAAGGTTATTTGGCCTGCTAGACACGAATATCATATTCATTTGTTGAATCAACGCCTCTTTCCTCAGCTGCGCTTGTAGCTTACATAGTAACCAACGCAGTGGCAAAATTTGAGTGCGCCATGTTGAGTGAGAGGGAAGTTATGAGACCAGTTGCAAAACTTAGTTTCCAACCTAATAAAACCTTAAGAAGAGTTTAGTTTCCAGGGAAAAATCTTGAAAGTCAGGGCGTAAACTCTGAAATGGGTAAAAGTTTTGTTGCCGTTAGCTTAAAATCATGCTCAATCCCAACACCTACTTCTCAGGGTCACTATCGCAGGACCGCGTTCTGTTCTTGCGGGTGTGGAACTGAACGGCTTGCTGCGAAGGATCCCTGAGGAAATTTTCCAGTTCAGTCAGCAACAGCCTGCGAAGCCTGTAAGAGAGAACTTCGATGTGAGAGTAACGTGACAACGAGGACCTACTCGGCGACTAGGACGGGCTTTTTTTCTCCTCTTTTGAAGATCGCTAGAGATGGAAAATCAGTAAGGTGAAGAGCGTCTGCCAAGGGGTGATTTCTCAGGCAGCGACGCACCAGGAGACGTTTTCTATGCTGGTGCAGATCTAGTAAGAGCTGCAAATCATTTTGATGAAACTGTCGATCACAGAGGAAAAGGTGCACCTGAGCTCCCGTTAAGCTCGACTGATGATTTTCGAAGATAATGGCCATGTGCTGGGTGCTCGGAGGAGCCCCCTGCCAGAGTTCGCCGTAAGTGACGACACTTAAGCACTGTTATTTAAGTTAATGCATTTTGGTGGAAGTAACCCACTCTCCAAGATAATCGAAAATTGGCCAATCGCTGAAACGATTGACGGCGTAGTCATCCATGACAACCTGGGGCGTACGAAGAGATGGTAGTTAGCGCTGACATTTATCCCACGAGATACGCACCTTCGTCAACTGATCTCTCATTTCAGCCATAGACTGGTACGGCCGCAGCTTCGACCCACCAAAAGCATCACTAGAGTTTCGTGGAAAATACTGAAGCAGATCCGAAACAATGTCAGTTGCAAAACTTCAAACCGGAAGCGTCTATTACCTTTATGTAAGGAAAAAATTGCACACCATTGTCCTGACACGTCATATGATTCACAGAATCAGCGCAGTTGATGGCCGCTATCTTCACCACTTCCTGCCACCCCTTTACATCATTGGCTAGAGCCTTGTACAGTGGAGCGAATGAGCGGCAATGTCCGCACCAGTCAGAATAAAACTGAAGTGTAGCGTAATTTTCTAGCGTCTTTAGAGTTTTCGACAAAGGCCTTACATTGGGTATGCTTTTGGATGCGGCTAAATTCTAGATTGCAATATAGGGGCAGAACGTTTTCGTGATAAAATAAGTGCATACAGGTAAAGGATGTAACGAGTCACTGTGAAATAGATGTATGATCGCGTATTCATGTCAAGACTGAATAAAAAATTTTGAGAATTTCAGCTCTCTGATTGGCATATCCAAACCACAAGGTGTAGCTTAACAATGTAAACATATTGTATGTGACTGGCAAACCCGTGAAGTTTGACTCAAAAATAAATCTTCTGACTATAACAAAAATCGAACATCACCTCAGAGCAGTGGCGGTGCGAGGGGGGGGCGCCCCCCCCCCACGAGAATGGGTCGCGAAATTTTTTAAAATTACTTATATGGGTTATAAAAATTTGCAAGTGACTTCTTTTTACTTGTAAATAATTAAAATAATTTTTAAAATTTTTCAAAAATTCAAACTAGCCTTGTAAAAAAATTTTTTTCGGGGGCGTGGCTAACGTCACGCCCCCTTTTTCTTGATTTTGGGGGGTATGAGGCCACAAAAAATTCCGGAACCACCCCAAAAATTTTTTCGGAGCGCGTGGCTAACGCCACGCACCTTCATTCAAAATTTTTTTTGGCGCCCCCCCCCCCCTCGGTCCGAAATCCTGCGACCGCCACTGCCTCAGAGAATCCTGAGGTTCTCCCATTCGCCCACGCACACACTCAACACATTTTACAATATCACAGAATGTGCAAAACTTCCGCAAGGTCGCGGAATTCCGGGAATGTCGCGGACTTTCGCGGAATTCCCGGAATTCCGCGAAATTCACGGAAATTTTGCACATTCTGTGAGGATATTGTATACCTGCACTTGATGTATCCTTTTATGATTGCTAATCGAGGAGGCCAATTCTACCTAGCAGTCCTAAGTCCCAGCCACATACACATTTATATTATGACTCATTTCGATAGGTTTAGCGATAAAACAAACCTTTGCAAGTGCCTTAGTTTTTCAGAGAGAGATATCAATCTCATGTGACGATTTGATATTAGTTGATTATTGAATGTGACTACTTTTCCAAAAATATTTAGCACAAGATTGTAAGTACCCTAAAATCTTACAGCTAAGTCCACTTTTATGACAAGAAAAATCGATGAAAAAGCACCCATCGCTAAGAATCTTGCCGATAAGTCCTCCTCTCATATAAGTCCGTCTACAGATAAGTCCGGACTTACCTGACAGTTTTCGGACCTATCTGACAAGATTTCAAGGTAGTTATAATGAAAAAAAAACGGACTCAATCTGTAGAACGGACTTATCTGAGGAGGCTTATCTGGGTCAAAAAAGATGACTTACCCGAAGAAGGCGGACTTATATGTAGACGGACTTATCTGATGGGAGGACTTATCTGTGAGATTTTAGGGTGTTGTATTCCTTTCCCTGACCTTTACATTTCAATGAACAAACTTCAAAACATTGAAGGCCCAAAATGAGTTGAGTTATGCACACTGCGCAGTTCTAACGTCTTTAGAGTGCGCGAGACCTACACCGCATGAAAGCAAGTCAGGGTTGACAAAAAGCAAAAACTGAAGCGAACTGCAACTGAAAAGGAAATTACCTCTACTAAATAGGACGTGCATTTCTCTCCAATACAAAAAATAGTGTCATTAAAAGTGTTGTCATCAAGCTGAAGTACCATGTCTTCTTCAGCGTAGAGGGTCGGATTGAGTCCCTTGGGCGTGTTCCCGTACATAGCCACTTCACTAGTCACCCAAGGCAGCAAGAGGAAGATTAAATAAGACATCTGCAAGTATGTCATCGAATCAAAAGCCATGAGTAAGCTAATGCTTGACCCTATTGCACGTCCGTTCAATATTGCGTTGCTTATAGGCATGACAATGTTTACGTTCAGACAGCCACCCTTTGTCTCAATGACAGTTTCGCGGCCGGTGCGGGTTAGTCCCGCTTGCCGACTAGCTTGGACCTTGCACCGCGTCTGCAGACGTTTGAGCATTTTCTCACGCCCATTTCGACTGTAACTTTGGCGAAAATGACTAGAGTATACGTCAGAGACGCGACGCAAAGCCTAAGGACCGTATGCCGTACATCCCCGCGGGAGGGGATTCTAATTGTAAGCTACGTCCCCCCATAACCCTTGTCAATATTTTTAACGGTCAAGAAAATAGTGGAATGCAATGGTGCTTTTGATTGAGCACCCTAACAAGCTGATGATTTGAACTCTGCAACTGATCCTGGATCAAAACGAACTGATGGAAATGGAGGAGTTTGTGGATATTCAAAGGTTTGACTGGACTAGGCAAGACTTTTGAGGCACTCAAATTAATTTGCATATTCGCTGTTCCTGTTGACCATCACGTGCTTGCTATCCCCTGTAGGGTACCCTGATGATCAAAAAGTGGGGTTTGTAACCACCTTGGGCCATTCCATTCTCTTTCCTATGCTTAGCTTGCAATTTGCTACAAATGCTGCACTTACGCAATACTAGACGCTACAAGACGCTAGATAAGATGTCCCAGCAACCGTGAAAACTATCAGATTTTCCATCACTGTCTAAGACAAGTGCCTTGAGCTTATAATTCTGGATTTGCAGAGTTGAATTATTGATATGCGCAGGTTCATCATACGATTCAAATCACATTTGCTACTATTCTGACTTTAGTTGAAATATCAGATCAAAAGAATAATGCTGCTTTATAGCACTGCAACAGAGCAAATCTCAAAAATGTGTGAGCATCTTTTGATAGCTAAGCAAAAGCTTAGCTTTACAAAAGACTTTGGCAAAAATCGTTACCTACGTGAAGTTTGAAGACGGAAACCTAAGAGTATCAACGACTCAAAAACTGTGCATATCACGGACAATCATAATATGGAGTTGTTATGCTTCTTTCAGGCTAGAAATAGAGGAAAATGATGGCCGTAATTTGACAAGCGCAAGTGGATTATCTGGCGCTATTCCACATTAGTTGACCCAAAAAATGAAAGTCTGAATTTCGCTAAAACTTCGTTTAGGGGGGGGGGGGGTTATTTGGTACGCTGAACATGAATATGATGTTTATTTCGTGCGACAGCGCTATCCGGTGGGGTTACGGTAGCATTACGGTAGGGGGTCAAGACCACGGATTTGCAACCACACTTCTGTACAGTCTAGTCGTTTCGTTTTTCACTGTGTCTCAATGCACATACATCGCGTGTATCGACCTTGAATAAGTTGGTCCTTTTGCGTACGAATACATGAGAACTCTAACTGAAGGCTTCCACTGATACTTGCAATGGAAGAAAACTATGGAAAAGACGTTGAGAACTCACTTATCGTGAACAAGTTTGCCATCACGGCCAGCGACTTCCGGAATGGCAAGCGTTGGGTGGATGGTGTGTGCATTCGCGCATATTAAGATAGAAAAAGGCTCGATTGTACGTGCTACATGGTCACTAAATAAGGGTGATTTTGCAAAATAAACAAAAAATGTGACCAGTTCGCATTCGTCTACATATGAAGCCGATTTTTTCGGAAAAGATATGTAAAGTTTTCGCATCACTTTGTGGATCGCAATTGATGCGAATCCCGAATGGAATCTTGCAGGAACTGCTTCAGTGTACCGAGCAGTACCCTTCGTGCATTAGCGTTCAACATGCTCCGGTAATAAAGAAACGACATTCATCCAACGTGATATGCACTTGATGAAGGAAGCACTTTCAAAAAATTTGGAGATGGGCAACAAATTGTACAAGCGAAAGTGCAAAAGACTGAAAAGATTGACCTTTCGTCGGGAAAGAAGCCAGCGCTGATGACTGGAATTGAGGAAAATCAAAATGACCACTGATGTTACAAACGTTGGAAGTGATCAAATTGGAGGTATAGGCCATTCGAAAAATCGTGACGGTGGCGCGACCGCACGCGACGCGCACGCACTTCCATCAACCGCAATCCCTTAGTTTTCATCTCTTCTCGAGTGGTAATTCTGCTTATGTACGGTATTGTTAAGTATTAGGACAGTAATAAGACAATAGTATCAAGTACTAAGACAGTAGTGGTAGTATTAAGACAATGGAAGTGGCTGAGCTGAACGTTGAGGTCATGCCTTTTAGTACGAGTTTCTTATGCTCCTGTTGGCGCAAAGAGCGCAGTCAAATCCGTCGTCATGATTTTATAGATGACTTATGCAAGGAGCACATGTAACCGCTTTGGCACAAGTTATAGATTGGCGGCGATGATTCACCAAGCTACTTCGAGCACAAAAGAAATAGAATCGGAAACAGATAATTCAAGCAGGTACTCATTCTGCTTCTTCCCCGCTTCAGCTTCTGCCGTATAGAAGATAGGGATTAGTAGGACGAACAAATGAAGTTTCAGAAGTTGCAGAAGCCACTCCCCACTCCTTATAATTCACCAATGAAAAATGGGTTCAATAAAAAAAAGGGCAGTTTCACTAGATTACGACCATGATCTGACCTAAAAAAATAGTAGGAGAACTCTTTCGCTCCGAAAAACGTTAGAGTGACCGGCATGTACATTTCCGCAATGTGCACACAGTTCTCGAGTCAAAGCAGGAAGTTATCTTGCACGCACTAAGTGCTTGCTACCATTGTATGAGTCAGCGCATAGCGACGTAATAGGAATGCAGTAGCACAAATAAGTGAATGAATGAGCACCGCTCGATGCATGGAGCAGAAGACATAACGAAAATAAACGAAAAGTGCCGTAAACTATCGCAATTGCGAGAATATAAACAACATTCGACGGGAACTTTGCGACCATTCTTCGAAACAGCGAAAGTAGTAGCATGTGGTACAGAGATCAGATCGATGAAATCTTATCATTTAGAGATTCGAGAACATGCCCCAGTTTTTATCCACAGAGAAAGGATAGAACAGCGTAGAAGATTCGCTGGAGGAATCGCTTTTCCCTCAATAGAGCTGTCAAAAGGCTGAAGCAGGTTTGCAAAGATCGTCGAAGTGAGCAGAGCGCTACAATCCTCACAAAAAACGCCTATCCCATTGTAGCCACAATGGGCCCCCGCAGATTGTCACGATTCAACGCACACCTGGAAAGTGTCTTGCTCAAAATATACTGAATCGGTTATTCCTGAAGGATTCTCGTTGTTCCTCTTCAGAACTTTCTGATTGAATGGATTCAAAAGATCTGAAAGACCTGAGCTTTACAAGTATACAAGTACATCAACTTACTTACAAGGGAAAGTTCCCAAGTCAGCTCGGCCAACCAGGATGAGTAATAGATCACCGTAACGGGCTTGAAACGCTGATTCCAAATCTGCTTTCCTTCTCTGCGGAGCGACTTTCCGAGAGGAGTTATGAGCGTTTGAAAGTCTAAATTTGTCATGCTCGTGGCTTAAAATCAGTTAAAAACTGTAAAACAACAACTAACGAAATTTCAATATCTGTGTTCCGTCCTTGTAATCAATATACTTGACACAAAACTGATAAATCACTTTCATGTGTTATTGTACAGGTTCCGCCAATTTTAAGCCACTTAAAACATGACAAATTTAGACTTTTAAACGCTCATAACTTCTCTCGGAAAATCGCTCCGCAGAGAAGGGAAGCAGATTTGGAATCAGCGTTCCAAGCCCGTTACGGTGATATATTACTCATCCGGGTTGGCCGAGCTGACTAAGGAACTCTCCCTCGTTAGTTGGCGATTTCCCACAAAAATTCTCATTGTATGACCACTCAATAATAAGAAAAAAAGGTCTTTAATTCACATTGTGTAAATAACCAAAAGGCTTCGATTCGTTCCTGCCCTTAGACGGAGTAAAAGTATTTACAGACCTCCCCTGGAACTCTCAGTAAGTAAGGAAGGTCTGTAAAACTTATTTTCAATACTAAAAAGTAAATTTGTTTAGACCTAAAAAATATGTACGTGAATTTTTCTTAAAAATAAGGTTTTTTTGGATATAGAAGTGTGTCATACATGATTCTATATATTTATTATATCAAATCTATAATAGTAATGGAATTACTTACCTTTAAATGAATATATTAGGTTGTCCCGAAAGTTTTGTCCGTTTTTTCAACCTCTCACAAAAATACGTGGAACAAAGATAGGGAAACGCTCTAAGCACTACTCGACGCATCTTTTCCTCCTCTTTCTAACTGTAATAATCTTGTGCAGATTACTCTTTTACTCACTGAGAAAAACGCCGGATTTTCGAACCCATGGTTTTTACTATGTCCAAGTTTGACAATTTTTCACAATCATCATTTTCAATTTTTGGAAGATCTTTGATAGCATAGGTGCGATAGGGGGAGCAGGGTCCTTTCCAGGTGAAGGGGGTTCGGCTATTTCCGACTAGAAGAATGAAGGGGGTAACTGAGTCTTAAGATGAATGCTGACGCAAGCTTGCATGCCTAACGGTAGCGGGAGTGAAAAGAAGGAAAAAAAACGGTAAAAGAGGTGTGAAATGAAGATTTTCTCAATGCCTAGGCCTTTGAAGGTAATCTAACAGGGACTTTTTTGACTCGGGAAAGCTTTGTGTTTCATCAGTCGACATACTATCCGAAAGCTTGAGACATATAGAATCGACGTAGACCGTCTCTTTTTTTCCAGCTCTCTTGTGAATACACATATAAGAAATCATATCTAGCTTCAGCATCAACTGATTCTATGCAATCACTTTGCGCTCCATTTCTGAGAGAAAGAGGAGAGCTAGAGAAAAAAAGACGGTCTACATTTACTGGCAAGGTCTTGCTCTGTGCTACTGTTAGAAAATCAGGCACCTTCATTCATTCTTCAAGCAGGAATTTCTTGACAAAAAGACACATGCTTTTAGATAAAATGCCATGTATCTCTGAGTAGAAGGGAGCTGGAAAAAAAGAGACAGTCTACGTCGAATCCTTGTTTCGTGAGGTTTCTAATGGTATATGGGTCGTTGGATGAAAAAACTCGTGGCTTTTCAAAATTGAGGTGGAGATATTCAATACTAACTTGCACCACCCTGCTCCGGCTTTCGATGGGTAGCTAGAGCAAGACTTTTTTGGATTGGGAAAGCTTTATGCACCAAAACTTTGTATACCATTCAATAGTTAAGAACACGAGGAATCGACGTAGACCGTCTCTTGGTTCTTTGTGAAGCGAGATATGAGCAATTTTACCCAGCTACAATATCAGCCAATTCTGGGTAAATATTTTTTCAGACCAAGAAGGTTTTTTCTTCGAAGTTTATATATGATTCGAAAGCTTGAGAAACGAGTAATCTGAATGCCCTTTCATTTGTAATTATTCTTTCTAGTGAAAGGAGATATGGTAAGATTCTTGTCAGTAAACATGCATCCATCACTGGCTAGTCCAGATTTTCTTCTTTTGCTCAACTCTTTCTGTGACAGTGTGTACTCATTGATACAATGTTAATGATTCAAAGAAGCAGGCATCCTTTTAATTTTTGATCATATTTCGTTATCAACGCCACTTTGAGTACGCTGGAGGTCTCAGGCATGCGTTTTTTCAACAAAATGCTGTTGCTTCGATGCTCTCTTGCAGTCCTGATGTCTGAGGAGAAGGGCAGCTGGCGTTTCCTTTCCGAACAAAAAGTGCCGTTGTAACTGTTGTTTGATTATACCGTTATGCCTTGATTCTAGTCTCAACCTCAGGTGAAAGGGGTCAACCAGATGCTGGCCCTAAAGTGAAGGGGGTCAGAGAAATTTCTCCACCTATCGCATCTATGTTTGATAGCCCTCGAAAATAGTGAGCAAAGGGCAATGCAATGCAATTATTTGGCATATCTAGCTGGCTTTTCAATATTTTTAAAGATAATTTTTTCAAAAGTCTTCACTTTTGCGAAGTTCTAAAATACAGAAACGCCTCGAACACTAACATCATCGGATTTTGAACAACTAACACTAACACAAATCATCGGATTTTGAAACTTTCAAAAACCGATCACGATATATTTACTATTTTTACCAAGCAAATGAGCGTTTACCGCTTCGAAATATAAGATTTTACATTTACGTGTACAGGCTGAGGTGGGGTCAAATTCAAGAATATTGAAAATTTTATTGCCAAGGACCCCGCAAATTAGAGAGGAAATACACTCACTGGAAAGAGAAAGAAAAGCTGCATCGAATAACACATTAGTTGTGCGCCGTTTCATGATCTCCGGCTTCTGGCATCACCAAAAGTGGAATTTGATAACATCAGAAAAATAATTCTAAAAAATTTTCAAGGCTGGCTATAGATGCCGCAAAATTGCATTATATTGCCCCTTGTTTGCTCTATGTAATTGTTGCCAAAGCTTTTCCGAAAGTCAAAAATAAAGATTGTGAAAAATTGCCAAACTTGGACATAGTAAAAACCATGGGTTCGAAATTTCGGCGTTTATCTCAGTGAACAAAAGAGTAGTCGGCATGGAAGCATGACAGTTAGAAAGAGAAGGAAAAGATGCGTCGGATAGTGCTTAGAGCGTTTCCCTATCTGCCACGCGTTTTTGTGATAGCTTGAAAAAACGGACAAAACTTTTGGGACAACCTAATACATCTGATATATAAATAACAATAGCTTATAATATATGAGTACCATTGTATATAACCACATTACGCATTAATAATATTCAATAATATCCTATACTAATATCCTATATATAATATCCTTACCATCTTGTTGTGGAATTGTTTGCCTCTAAAAAATTCCCACAACGTGGCATCCAACGATTCTACCAGCTTGTAATTTTAATCAGCGTTCAAGCCTGCTTTCTTCAAAAACTTCGATTCTTTCTTAGATTATTAAAGAAGAGCGAGGCCGTTAGTTTTAATTTCCGACACTAGATTGCTCAAACTCTTTGCTTCTTACCCTATTTTCAGGTGTAAGCCGGGTGGTCCTAGCTTACATCGACCAGCCCGAAAACATCAAAGGACCTCGCAACCAAAAGACCCTACACCGTGCTGGGTATTGCCTGAAAGAATCGTGCGGCATAAGGATCGCTTCTCGAAACACAATGAAGCGGCTGAGCAGCTCGTTTGAAAATTTGAAAAAGTGCGACTTATACGCCTGAAAATAGGGTACTATGGAACTTCCAAGGCCAAGAATCGACCAAACCCACAAAATTAGTGAATACTATATTCCGATGCAATATGATCACCAAAGTACTTTGAAGTAACCCCATGCGAGTAGGTCTCGTGTTCTATAGAGCCTATGTATTGTTATAATAAAACTTTGCTTCTGTCACGAGCATCACCCTAGCCTTCTTGTTGAATTGGGACTCGTTCATCAGTCATGAAATGGTCGTATAATTTATTATTAGATACTCTCTTTTCAGTACAAGAACAGAATAATTTACACATCTCGCTAACATCATGGAAGTAATGAAATCATTACGGTAATGTACAATCGCACGCCCCGGATACGTACTGCAAGCATCAGAGACTTGCATTCCTATACTAGTAATTCACCTAGAGTTGGCGCTTACATCATAGATTATTACAATTTTCAGAACATCAAATGCGTCTTGCTTTTAGCTCCTGGTATTTTTATTTGGCCACTCTTTTGTACTCCAAGTTTTCGACGGACTATATACCTGAATAGCTCTGTTTAAGAAGTTTCAATGAAATGCGTTAGAAGCTGAGATGTACTCACCATTCGATTACTAAGGCTAGCACGACGAGAGCAAAGCAAATGAGAAAAGCATGCCGGGCCCACCTAAAACGCTAACACAATAATCGTGCACCAATGAAATTCAGTTTGATGTTTTACCTAGGGACTGAATGGTCTCTTAATCCACCTCTGAGCTCATGTAACTCTCTTAAAGCATGACCAATGTCATCAACCAGATCCTCAACAGCTTTCTGGAGAGGCCATCCTAAAACAACAGTAGGTGCTTATGGTATGTGCAACGACTTTATTATGAGTTCATTTTCAATTCGCTAAAAAGCCGTATTTTTCTTACTTTCAATGGGGTTAGATTACCATTCAATAAAGGTGAACAGGTATGCAGCTCCACAAGGTCGCTTCCTGACATTGAAAAAATTGATTCATGTGTATTCCGAAGCAAAAGTATAAAAAGACTTTTGATAAAGCGCTGAAGCTGTCCGTCTTTTCATGAGTGTGTGTACGTCTGCCTGTCAGAAACTTCATAGAGCGGATTGCGGATATCGGGGACCAAATTTTCGCATAATATATCCTATCAGCGTATAGGTCCACGATGCACAAGGTTGACCATTCCAATACTCCGATCTTCAGAAAAGTCTTTGAGCCATAGCAATCCAAAAGAATCAAAATTCTGCATTTTTGCAAAAAACGACAAAAAAAATTAATGATCGCGCACAGCGTCGATTTGTCACAGTCCAACCTAAGAAATCGAGAGGATTTTTGATCAGAGTTATAGCCCACAGTGACCATTGTTTTTGTAACGACTTTCAAGCTAAAGTAAGTTAGTATCAAGTTTGCATTTGTGCAAAGATATTCTCCGCTCAATTCTACCGACCTAAAATGGAAAGATGATTTTATATACTCGAAAAATCGTATCCTTGGGCAGGGAAATCCTATAAATCTGCCAATTTGCTTACGCATATACCCCAAGCATCAGACATTTATAAAACAGTTGCTATATTTTTTTCATGGCTAGACATGAAACAAAGGTAGACCAAAAATGCAGTGTCTCCGCATTCGTTGCGCTGCGTTTCACATAATTTGAGCTGTTCATGTTCACTGTGTTCCAAGTGTTAGTTTATGGGACCATGCAGCATTTATTCGTACAGATGTAAATTTGTTGAAAGAGGGGCCGAATACGAACCCGAGGAACCCTACGGGCTGGAAGACTATATGTCGCCGAACGGAGGTGGTCCCGCTTACATCTGCGACTAAGCGCGCAGCAGCTGTCCGCGCAGGCGGAGCTTATCGGGACATATAGTCCCCTAGCCAGCCCTATACCTTGGGCTTTACAAAGCCTAATTGCACGCGCCGTGCCTAACACCAGCATGAGCGGGAGAAAGGTAGAATTTGCTTGTCTCGACAAGTTGTGCAGATCCGGTGAGACTGTGTACCACTTGATTAACTTCAATGTTTTAGGGCAATAATTTGTGTAGGAAAGATGATTAAGTAGATTCAATCACACAAAAGAGTGATCAATTTCTGTATGCGCAGTATACAGGAGGTAGGTTGCCGGGGTTTGTATGCGTGTTGCTTTGCGTTGTCTCGTATATTATCATAGTCCTTTGAAACACTAGCAGAAGCGTCGTCAGTAGCTGTCTCCGCAATGGGTGGCGGCCTTGTAACAATGGCTCGTAGTAAGGCTCGATCAGTCTAAGTGATGTTGACTGGAGCCAGCTATCAGTTGAGGTTCCGTCAAATGAAATGACGACCGCCCACCTTCCCATGCTATAAGCATGCAAAGGGAATTGACAGTTGGTCATCCGTCCACCTGCCGCATTCAACTGATCCACTTTATCCGCTCACGTCCAGTTGAGACGTGAACTGATGCAAATAGTGTAGAAAAGACAAAACGCAGGAAACATTTCCGTAAGTTGCTCCTGAGTAACTTACGATGCACATCAATTTGCCTAACACTGCGGACAAAATCGGCGCGAAATTGCACAATACCGGGGCCTGAAATGGAAGCATCGATGAACAGCTGATTTTGGCGTGGAAAACAAGAAAACATATTCTTTTAATTTTTGTGAAGTTTGCTGACTTTTTCCTGAAAAGCTACTCAAAAGAAGTACCTACTGATTCATTTCGTTAAGTTCATGTTGCAATCATTTCAATTTTCATGAAATTTTCGTCGAGAATTGTTGTTTTATTGTTGCATTTGTTTTATCCATGCATGCTAGACGAAATCCTTGGTAGCGATAATCATCGATTTTGCGATAGTGGCCGCTATCAAAGTTGCCCGGCGATGCAGCAAAAGTTGTGACTTTAGCCGTTGTCGAACCTGACCTCGCGAGTCCAATCTCAACCGCTTACCTGTTCGACCAATCGACTCAAGTAGTTCCTTTTGTAAGGGCACACATGATTATAATTTCTAGGAAGCGATCCGCATACAAGGCAATAGCTTACTGGATGGCGAACTGAGGCGTCTTACGTTCAACATAAGCCCGGCCCAGCCGAGTTGCGCTGAAGGGGGGTTTACTACGGGCCACTGATTTGCTGCCGTGCATTTGGAGTAGTCTTCATACTTGAGTGAGCTTCATCATTCAGATTGACAATTCCATTGAACGCTCTCGCAGAGTTGTCGCAAAGGTAAGAGCTGTTTATGCAGAGAACTTGAAGCAGCCAACTTTGTCGTATGCTTGAGATCATTGGTAGAAGCTTCAAGTGCTTATCTTGTGCAACAGCATTGTCGGCGTTTGTAGGAAGGAAATTAGTGTGCTTTTGTTGGTGACGGAATTTTTCTCTTTCTTGTGGTCCTGGCGATGCTCAATCGCATCATGTCAGTACTTGCCTGATTCGGATTAGAACAGAGTGCATGCTGTGCTGCGTGTGTCTGAAAAGTCTGTTTTTGAGTGCAAGCTGAAGCTTGAGATTGGTAAGTTCAATCATAGATGAGCTTGGAATGTTTGAAGGCAATGGCTTGACAAATCATTGACCTAGAATTTCTCTTTGCTTACCTGAGGTAATCCGAGGCGCTAATCCCGAAGACCACCTTAGGGACACGAAAATGGCGAAAACCAGCATTTCCCAAGGCCCTTCATTTTAAATTTGAATGAGTGAAACAGATTTCGCTAAGGTAAGAAACGCAAAATCGTCGGGACCCTTACGGTTATAACACTGCCGCACGCGCTCCTGCGGTGGGAGGGGAACCACGCGCTCGTCCGAGCGCTTGTAAGAATGGTTCGCGAGCAGGGGTATGGGGGCAGTTTTCTTGGTGGGGAGCATACTGTGTAGTCTTTGCTCTGTTCTCATATCTGGGGTGTGAGTGATTTACCATATCAAATTCCCAAGATGTTCAGGTTTTGCCAAATCACTGCCTTTCTTGATTGTGGACGGACCATCTGCAAGTATACCCTCTCTGTTAAGTAAGCTGTGGAATGCGCCCGAAGCTCCTGCCATGTGCCTGCGGAGTCACTGCTGTTACTTCGCCTGAACGGCTTGGATCAGCCGATGACGTGTTTGATGGAACGTGAAAAAAGTTAATTGATTTATGGCATACAGTTCATCAACATCATGCTTTTCCGGAAGATTTCTAAAGGGTGTGCCAATTTATGTGCGAGTTTCGCATTCCTAAACTCGTGCAAGATGAGCTCAGCGGTAGGTAAAAAGCTATTCTGCTTTACTAACACTTTGTGATAGAGCAAAATTTCGGCTACAACATACTGTATAGGAGAGATTTAAAAATATTCAGCATGGAAACTATCAACGTTCAACCAAAGGCATATGTATGCTGAATGCTGAAGAACTTGTGGATACAAATGTGCGAAAACAAAAAACAGTCTTTAAAAGAGGTTTGAAATCAATTTCATACCAAGTAAAACTAGATGTTTATTTGACAGCTCTGCGGAAGCAGAAAACCTGAATTCGGCAACAGTTACGTTTAGATAGCTAGCTTACAAATGTGATTTGAAGACAAAACGACCACTGACACACAGGTGACATTCGCAAATTTTCTTCGCCATTTTCTAAGATGTATTTTCGATAAATGAAATTATTACAGTGTAATAGAGCAACCTCCTCTAAACAGAAGACAAAAATCGGTAAAATGTTTCAAGGAACTCTAGCTGCAGAATCGAATATAAACATCAAATTTGAGTTTTTACGCTTTTCAAAGTACTAGTTGGATTCACTTTGTGTAAATGCGCAGGCAACACTTTGGGCTCATGAAACGGTATGAAGGAAAGTGCGTTACTGTGGCATAATTTTAAAGTCAAAACTAGAAGTAGTTCTTATGTGGCACTGCTGCAAAGTTAATGCAAATGATTTCGGCGCAACCAGTACTGTGGAATTATTTATGTGAAAACACCCTAGCATTGTTTTAGTGGAAGCTGCCAATTTTGGTTTTTTTTTCAGTTTATAGCCGTAGAAATATAGTGTGGAGAGTATGTGTGCGATCAAGACCAGATTTTGAAAAGTTTGTTTTGGTCTATCGAATGATACCCCAAGGCCATTTGAGCAGTAAGAAAAACTGATTTCATAGAAACAGAAAAAAATTGTGACATCCTTATCTATGCTTACAACATTCATTCTTCACGACAAATTAGGTAATTCGAGGAATTCTATGGAGGTTTGTTCTGGCCGACCAAACCTTAATACACCTGTCGCAGATTGAATTACGTTATATGTTTTTCCAGACGCAACCACGTCACATAGGAGGCCATTGTTTACTAAGCAAGTCCACTTCATTCACATTGTTATTACTCTTCTGTGCTCATAAATACGCATGCAGCAAAGTGCAAGAAATCCTCTCATATCTATGACCTTCGGTGAAGAAACAACAGCGTCCTTATATACTCCATACTTTTTTAACGCGCAAACAAGCCCCGGAGAAGCTTATTCTGTAAAAAAAATGCGAGTTGTCGTTAACTATTATGTAAGCGATAAATCATTTAGGAAATATATGGGAACGCAATGCGTGATGTGAAATTCCCATGCCTATGTTGCAAAACCATCACGCGATGGACATGCTGAGAATGCACTTGTTCTCCTACCTTGCACTATGGCGTTGTTCGCTTCACTGGCGATATTCCCCAGCGCAAATCGTAAGCGAGGTTCACCTTTGAAAGAACGACTTTTGCGAAAATATGTGTGGGTGGCCAAGACAGTCAAGTAACGCTTACCCGTGTGTATGCGCACGTAAGGAATTTTTCTTGCGTCATTGACGAGACCATCAAGAACCATCAGTGCGAGCACGTTAGGCCGTGTGCAGGAGTCGTCCAAAGCGAACCAGCGCTCGTAAACCTTCCATGCGTAAACCTACAAGAATAAGCTCTCAATTTCACTTAGGAAATCGTGAAACTCAGACTGATGCAGAATTTTGCTATTTGAAAGTCTCATTTTTCGAAGAAAAATTGAGGTCAAAAAGCCTTGTGTAGTAAGAAGGAGCTCATTTAGGCGTTATAATTGCAAAATGGGGAGGAATCGTTGCCTGTCATAGTAGGGAGTCTCTTCCTAGAAAATGTAATGTTCAAGTGCGGCTTCTGACGTTCACTTGACGACGGTAGGCCGGGCTCTTAAGTAATCTCAATGTTCGTAGAAAGCTGAACAATCATAGCTCCTCTCTAAATTTTCAATCTGTGAAGACCCCTTAAGCCAACGAATTTTTTTTTTCAAAAGAAAGAATTGATTAGTCGCATTCCCCACTTGCGCCACTTTTTGAATGGGATTACGGAGCGCGAAGATTCCGACAGCCTAGTTGCAGTCCCCATGGACTTAGGCAGCAAAGGCAAGTCAATAATCCAAATGACCCCTTGTAATACTTCATTCTTGTCTTTCAACAAAGCATATACTATGAGCAGGGTTGCTGACCAGAACAATCAATTTCTGTGAGAAACACTTATGCTGCCAGGGCAAAAAAAGGTTCAAAAAGGTGAACATGAGAGCGTTTAGTAAACTGCGTAGTGATTCTGATAAGCGATTGTCCTTACCGCGAGCACACGCTGAAAGAAAAAAGATTACATACTTGGGGGTGTCAAAGTATATCTTGAATACCACATCTATAAAAAAAAACAAGCTAACCACTCAGACACTGAGGGGACATTGCCGCTATCAACATTGTGTTTTCACGAAGAAATATATGTTTTCCATATATTTCCCTGCTATTACAATTACAAATGCATTGCATGTCGAAAACAGGAAAACGTGGCCGGCAGGAAACTTTTACATTTCTAAACTGTGCACTAGCAGAAAACCACATCGGAGATTTGCTGAAAAACACTTTCGGTTGAAAAAAGACTCAACGCTTTCTTGCTTCTGCGAAGTGGATTACCATTGCACCTTGAATGAGGAATTTACCACTTAAGTGCCGCTCGCGGACTATGACACCATATATTTGCACTTCAAATTATGGGATGTTGAAAAAGCTGAGACCGAGTCTGTGTTCGACTTCGATCTGTCAGATTTTCCGAAGATGCTGTCATATTCTCAGTCTAAGCTCATCTTTTCCACACATGAGCTTAGACTAAAAAAAAAAATCATAGTTCATTCTTTGAAGGATCCAAAACTATAAGACTTAACTCACTCATTTACTGATAACTAGATTCGAGAATTGAAAACAGAGGCCACTTGATGTGATCAAATGTAGGTAATCTGTACCAAGTTTATATTTCATTTATAGTAGCAGGAAATAGCCATGAATAAATCTCTCCTAGACATTACTTTTTTGAATATGTTCAAACGATATGTTATAGTCAAGCTGGTGAATGATCTTTGATCTAAGAATGTGCGCAGCCTAATCGCCGTAGTGAATTGCAGGGAGGATGCTTCCGGCTACTCCGGAAACAATCGAATCAGTGCGTGCCAATGCTTTGTTCTTCAATGTATCCAGTTTTTGCTCCAATCTTACGCAGGTTTTATGGTCACTACAATGATTGAGATTACTGAAGAATAAACTTGCCACGATGCTTGGAAAACAAGATTATGCAAGCATGTAGATGCGCGAAAATCAGCTCATCCAGTGACTAGTGCTGTTTCAACACTGTGTAAGCAATCTACGTTTGCATAATTGAATAGGTTGAGCAGGCCTTTGTCCACCGGAATGGTCTCAATATTGATATTGGTTAAGAGTAACAAATTGGCCGAGGGACCAGGAGGCAATTTGGGCGTAGATGACAACAATCAAAGGAACATGACAAGCGTGCAGCCAAATGCGGTTCTCGCATATTCTATTTTAATAGCAAAGCTCGATACCGCGAGCGCAGAGGCTAGGAGCATATATGGCTATCATACTCAATGTCAAAAGTTCTTCTGGAAGACCGGTGATGTGCACATAGTATGATTATCATCGAATGATTTGCAACTTAATATGCTTATTGCACACCATGTGGGTTGACGACTCATAAGATTAGAACTTGCTCATTTTTAGTGATTTCTCCTTCTTTGTCCTTTCAATTCAAATAGATATGTGTAAGTTAGCGTTACACATTTCTACAGTTTGTTACGCTAGAAAAGATTTTATTGAGGAGCTACTAGTAAGGGTGCCGTCAGTTGTCGCGCATAGTGTGCACTAAGTTTGAATTGACTGGCGGATATGTTCTAGCGTCAATTGTTGAAGTAGTTTACCCTGACTGTTGTCATTCATATCGCAAACAGACAAAGAGTAGGAGTTGTTGGCAAATCCATCAAAATTTTGTAAGCCCCTTAGACATAGTGATCTGTGTATTTCTTTTGACAAAATAAAAGAACTGCGCTCGCGTCGTATGGAATGCTTAAACTCATTTATAACAAGTACGTTTCTACTAATTACCTTCATAAATATCTTGACATTATTCACGAAGCCAAGCACCACCTCGGAATCCACTCGATTGCACTCGTTTTCAAAAAGGCAAGCGTAGGATTGCTCCTCATAAACAGAGGCTGCTGATGTTGGAGCTTCTAACTGACGCACTTAAGTGTTCTACACTGATTGGTGACATACGAGAAGAATATCGCTTACTTACCTATCAGTACAGCGAGCGTTGTTCTGTTATTTTGATAAAAATAAGGCCTATATCTGCAATCAAAGTCGGATAAGGAAAATGTGGCTAAGCAAGTCAGACCAACCTCTCATATGCTAGCTCTATACCGTTGAGATTTGCATGGGATAACTGATGGTGAAGATCGCAAATAAATGGGAGCCGAGAACTTGTTGTACAGACTAGACGATGCTAAATGTGTATGTTCACAGGCATGATGAAGAACAATAATTACATCAAGGGTAAAGTGAAAACGCAGGTTTAATCTATGCTTCCACTCATTCGATGTTGCTCACATTTGAACTGTGTCTTCTATGGCCCTTGCTACGCATGGGGCTAATCCGCGCAAGTGAACTGCTCACTTCTCCCCTTCTGTTTCTCATCTCTTAGTCATGCTTGAAACAAAAACATATTAGCACACAATTTTTAAGAAGTAGGTACTTAGTACCTTCATAGAACTCCCTTTGAATCAAACTTTGGCGCAAGAACTTTGAGCGACGGAAACGATTTGATTCTAGCAACATCGAGAGGTCAATCACATTTTTTTTTCAATATTGTGCTTCAGGAAGAAGTTCTAAACCAACCGATAGCCCTCAGTTTAGGGGAAAAATGTCTTGCGATAATCTTATCAAATATCCTAGCAACGAATGCCATACACGCAGTTTTCTCTCATCATCAGCTACAAAACAATATTTCAGAAAGGTTCTTCCAGGGACCTCATGAACGAATTTATTGAAAAATGTCTAGCTAAGTGGTTCTTCTCCCACATGATCGAGCATACACAGGGTCACATTCTGAGCAAGTTAAGCTAGCTATGTTCTAAAGATGGCTGCCAAAAAATCGTGGGAAACTCAGACTGCAGAAAACATCCGGGAGTGGCACTGTTATCGCTCGTACACCTGATGCTGACTACAAACTACAATTTCCTTTGCCTAGGGATTTCTCTTATGGCTCACATCCTCTCCGCATGAGTTCCATAAGAACACTGGCGGCAGTGGCAATTACAGAGTGAGAGAGAAAGAGAAAGAAAAAACTCCTCAGATTTTCAGCATCTTTTGCAAAGTGTGGATGAGTATTCAATAGAAAAGAAATACTGAGTGTGATGATTTATCAAGAAAGTTTGCAGAAAAGACGATTTGATTTTTTTTCCAAAGCAATTTGTAGCATTTGATGTGTGCCATGAAAGTCCATACTTTGTTAGTTGCAAGATAATATTTTGATTTTTTCACTTCGTTCTCAAGTTTCGCTCCATTCAAGCATTGATGCACACTTTGGTTAAATTTTGCTGATGAAAATGTGTTTTCAGTTCATCTTTTCGACACATAGAGACAATGATTCAAGTGCCGCGATCTGACGATGACTGAGCCCACTATTATTATTTCATTACAACGTTTCCTTCTACGACAAGCTAGTTCTTCTACTCAATGCACATGAGCCTGAGAAGACGATACTGATGAAGGAGGAGCACGGATCAAGACCAAGTACTTTTGGCACCAAACATCAGCTTTCCCTAGCATCTTGAGCTCTTAAGCGAGATATTCTCGAAAGCAGTATGCTGGTTATGTCGAAGGTAATTCGATCTTGATTATATTACGGGCATAGAGATCAGTCAGCCGAAAGGCTGCATGCTAGTCCTTCAAACAAGAAAAAGTCATTCGTACCTCGTGTTGCTCAAAAACGGGTGACGGGAAGGTACACGGCGTGAATATCGGCGGCACTGGTATCTGACCGGCAGACCCCAGCTGCAGAAGAAGTCCAAGAAGAAGCATGCCGCCACATTTGCCGTATCGAAGCCGCAGTCGGCGCTTAGAGGTAGTCTGGAAGCACAGTGGTTTCGAAAAGGAGTCAATGGGAAAGGCGACGATAAGAGGAGCGTGGCTGGGTTTGATCAAGCCACTACCAGATGTAGCGAGGCACGAGATCGTCAGCCCGCCGACTTGTCCATTATGAAACGTGGCCCCGCCCTCGGCTCTAAGGATGCGAACGACGTGCAGGGGCAACTTCGGCGGCTGAATTGGTCATGGATGCTGCGAGGCCCTTTGCCTTTTGCACCTATTGTTCTCTTCAGGTGAACGGAATTTTGCACGAGTTACTTTTTGACGTCTGCGAAGCAAATTCACTCTTGTCTGAACTAGTGCGGATTTTTTAGGGGGTCTTCGCTAACACAACTGCAAACGCCAGCGAAACTTGGAGCAAAAGTCATTTACTGTCACACGGGATAATCTAATAGTTCTTTTGCACTAAACGGTTCCTTCAAATTGTATGCAAAACATGATAGACACCGAAGAGCAGGTATAGTTATCATCCTAGGGCTCTGCATGAAGATTGCCATTTTATACTTTTGATTCGCATTTCTGCATACATTTGACCACAATCACTGGGTGCATACCCAACTTGGAGCGTAACCTTCATGAGAAATGTCATTACTTAGCTGCAGAAGTAAATTCGGCTGCGAGTGCCACGAGTTTATCAGTTTCCTTTGCTACTTTTTAAGTTCAAGGTGTGTTGACTTTACCACATTAACATTCCTTTGGTGTAGTGTAATTTGAGATTTAAACCACATAGTTGAGTTTACCACATTAACATTGCTTTGATGTAGTGTAATTTGAGATTTAAACCACATATAATCAAAACTCTATGCTTTCTCAAAAAAAAAAAACTTCAGCATTCATCTCTGAGCTTGATTGAAAAGGCGGCGAATTATCCGTTCCTTTTATAAGTTATCCTGCCATCTAATTAGAATTCCAAGAAGGACTATGAAGGAACATCTTCTGATGGATGACTGCACGTCACCATGTGAAACACCTGACATTGGTCATTTTCATTCCAGTGTAATAGATTAACAATAATTCATCCAAAAACTAGTAAAAAAGCACTTTGCACACAACGGTCAAAAAATCTTGGAGCCGAAGCTTAGACAACCGTACAATTTCGACTACCACCAGCTTTCTGTGACGACCAATGCATCACAACGGCGGTGACGCTACCGCTCTACTCGGCCTATGAATTCCTGAGTAGTCGCCATGGAAGCCATTGTTTTTGCGGCTACTCACCAAGAATGATTGACATATTCGTGAGAGATGTGTAATGTTTCACTCCTGCTTTCTACTATATATGTTCTGAGACGTACCTAGTTGCAGAAGATTTTTGTTTAGCATTATTTTGTTTGGGAAAATGCATCGCATCCAGAAAATAATACGAGCAGCACCTGCTAGGCATGGCCTTGCTTGCTCCGTATCAGCATAGTAGCAAGCAAAAACAACAAAGTAAGTACCGTTTCAACTATACAATTCTGCAGCTGCACGTGCCAAATCGCTCTCGTCCACACTAACAAGGAAAGGATACTCAGTGACCGTGGCCATTAGGAATGGGATGTATACCGTAAGATGCACCTCGAAATGCTGATTCTAAATCTGTGCTAGATATCTGCGAAACGATTTTCTGAAGGAAGTTATGAACTTTTTTTCGTAGGAAATTTGCGTACTTTTGGGTAGTAAAAATCACCAAATTCATTCTAGTTTACCGTTTGAAGCTGTTGAAAGGAATTTTAGAAGGTTTACTGTTGTATTACACCTATCTAAATCATATTCAGCATTTGAGAGGGAAAGAAAAATTTTTATTAATGAATTTCACTCTCCGCAGTAACGCAATTTATTCATGAAAAAATAATCATAACTCCATCCAGATCATCGCTTCGCAGATATGGAAGACAGTTTTTGAACCAGCATTAAAAGGCACATTTTTTGATATACAAGTCATTAGGAATGGCCACGGTCACCAAGTATCTTTCCCTTGTAAGTTTTATATAAAGCGTTGTACAAGGCTTTTCAATTGCTGAGTCGGGCGCACCAACATCTCCGCTCCCACTTGACCGCCTCGCATGAGCTCTGCGCCTTTTTCGCGAACATGCTCAATTTCAACACGCTTGATTAGCAATTGAAGCTCCGCCTTTTCCACACTCGTGGTGAGAAAGTGATAAGAAAGCGTGCTCACGAAAGAGGCGCAGAATCTAAGCGAAGCGGCTGCTCGGAAGCGGAGATGCTGGTGCACCCGACTCTGCAGTCGGTAAACCCTGTATTTGCAACGTTCAGTAACATGATCGAAGTCCAAGCTCGATTATCGATGAATCTTGGCATGAGATAGTATTTGTATTCGTAGCCAATAACCAAGATTGTTAATACGCTTTATTCAGTCAGGCCTTACCTTTATTCAGTAACATGTTTTTAATCCCATGTCATCGTTTGTGTTACTGTAAATTGACTATTGAAGGGCCTTAATAAGAACTTACAACTATTTGCCTGTTTCAGAACTTTGGTCATTTGGTTAATAATCGTGAGTTCGCGGATCCTCCTTATAGAGGGATTCCAGCTAGTCTGTCGCAAGGCTACGTGTGAGGGATAGTCGCCGACCAAAAGCGACCCTTCGCTAATAAGCAGGCGGAACCGGGGTAAAGGCTTGCTGCCTCGGCCAAATTCTTGCATCGCTATCTTCCTGGTAGGCATGGGGGAGGTTGGTTCAAAGTCACCTCTACCAAATAACTTCGATCGTCCCTCACGGGAGGTTCTGAGCCCAGCAAGCGAGTAAATTTTGCGAGTAAATCAGTCGTTAGACACAGTGATATTATGGAGAAAGGTCCTCTAATCTTGGAAGAGCTACTGCTCTGCACTGCTAAGGCAGCGTCAGTGCAAAATTTGACTGGCAATCTAGGCTGCCAAAAAACGAGAGGGACAATGATGACGACCTGTACCTACAAGGCTAGGACGCTCGTATTGGGTGTATCCAAAGATCTAATGATGCAGGCAAGGAAGATCAAGTACGACGTTATCGGACTCAACGAGACAAGGAGAACCAAATACTGAACGCTGTTATCAGAACTGGAAAAGCTGTTTCTAGGAACGTGCGACAGTAGAGGACCTGGCGATGTTGAAGTTCATGTCAACACGAGTTTGGCCGTAAACATTGAGCAACTAACAGCCCGAATCATGTTTACGAATACCAAGATGTGGAGCAATCCCAGCCTTGACAGTCCTCATTGCGTATGCCCAAATCAAGCTAAGACGAAGACGAACTCGAGGCTTTCTATATGGACTTGGAGAGTTCCAAAGAAAAGACTACCTTTCACAAGATCATTATCTGTGATTTCAACGCAAAGATTAGAGCCAGAGCTCAGATAATCGCGGGGGCAGGCGGCCATGCGAATTTCGAGCAAGCGGGCACCGGTAAAATAGTTTGCTGATTTCTTGCGGCCCGCTTACAAAAATGTGGAGGAATGGTGACCAATTTTTAGACGAATGCTCGAAAAACTATCGCAATTTTCCTATAGATTAGTTGCGGCGCATTGGCCGCATACTCGCGGACTTCCCGCGAGAGTATGCAAAATTATTGAGGGCCGCGCGGTCCTTTGTAAAGGACCGCACAGCCCTCAGGTACTTTCCGCTAGGGGAAAGTACCTCAAACTTGAGTAATTAAACCATCGATGACTCCTCTGCAGCACAGAGTCTCACATTTGCTCGACGTACGCCCGAAGCTGCTTAAAAAGAGTCCGAGCACCTGCTGAAAGTTTGGCCAGCGCTCGCTGAGAGAAATTATTTGACGACCGCCCGCAGAAAACTCTGTATTCTGCCCCGCTAGCAGGACATTCAACGGTAAAGGAGGTACCGTCCGTTGAAGGTTTGGCCACGCCCCAGAATTCTGCTGACCGCCTGCCCCGGCGATTATCTGAGAGGTTGCCTGCAGAACTTCATATCAAGACCCATGAACTAGAAAAAAAAAGAGAAAAGACTGCCAGTTCAGCATGACATCGAAGACGATCCATAGAAATTCGCATTTTCAAAACCTTCCTTTCCACGCTGGACCTGGGAATCGCCCGGTGTGAAGTATCATAACGAGAGAGCACATCATCGTCAACAGAAGATATTGCTTGACGGACGTCACTGTTGCTTTGAAGTTTCTTATGGAATCAGACCATCATTTCCTACGTGCCAATTTCTACTTTCCATGCAATGAAGAGAGAGCCGTTAAAGGCAGTGGATCGGCAAAATCCAACAACTCAGGATTTTAACGCCGTAGACTCCTTATTGCTCAAGTATGAAAACAGTGCAATCCCGGTTGCACAGTGCTTTCCTTGCCGAGAAAAATGCTCTCAAACTTACACGCGCAGGCCATTCTTACACGCATCCGGACGAGTTGGCGATTTCCTTCTCACCATTGGAGGCTGCCCGCCGCAATGCTATAACCGTTGGGTCCTACAACGATTCGGCGTCATCGGCCTTGCTGCACTCGTCCAATTACAGAGGGAAGGGCATTAAAAAACGCTCGTATTCGGCGTTTTCAAGCTTTCAAAAGTGAATTTTGGGAATCAGCGTATTGAATTACCCCAGGTAAGCGAAAATTTGACTAGGTTGAGATTTGCCGAGCCACTGCCTTCAAGTTCAGGACACAAGGTTCCACGACTAGTATTAACTGGCCCTGTACTCCTCAGATACCTCGACAACACCAACAAATACGAGTGGTTCGTCCGGCATATCCACGATTGCATAAAGAAGCCGTGAGTCCACAAAATATGAAATAAACTCTTTTATCGGAGAACCTGGAGCTGATAGCCCAACGCCGACCAGCACGAGCTATAGGTAACTACCAACTAACGTCCGAGCTAGCGAAACGATACAGAGAAGTAATGAAACAGGATCTCAAGGAGAGAAGAGCAGCTGTAACTGTTGACGCCGAGGCTGGAAGAAGTATACGCACACTCGCCGAATCTTTGTCAACT